GMTAGAGATCAGAAACCAACGATGGCAAGGGCGTCTAGTGACTACCAGGCTGGAGAATGAGAGTTTGAGTGCCGATGGGTGTTTCTGGTGGCTCACAGAGTGGAAGAACTGCCCATCACACACAATTGCTGGACTCGTCGAGCTATACGAGCAGCTATTGCCAACGCGAGTATACACGAGTCAGAAGACCCACACAAGCGGNACGTTGCTACATTCTTCTACAACACACTTAGTCGGCATATTTTCGAACAATATCGACTACAACCTTCCGAAACAAGTGAAAATGCGTGAAATGCAGACTTTCGTGTTCTCGATTTGACAAGTGAAAAGAAATTGGGGCGAGCCAGAAACTGCAAGCTAACAGAATCGATGCAAAGATAGTGAACCATAAAAGTAAGGAAGTAGTAGTCTTGGAGATGAGTTGTCCATGGATTGAGAACAGAGGAAAGAAAGATGAAGAGAAGTCAGTAAAGTATGGTCCACTACGATGGGAGTTACAAGAACAGTACCCTGGATATACAGTCCAGCAGCACAATATTATCATGGACGTGCTTGGGGGTTGGTCAAGCACTATGGAAGAGGGATTACGGAAGTTGTTGGGAAAAAAAGACAAAAGATGTGCTATGAAACATGCAGAAGTCTGTAGTGTCAAGTACGTTGAACATTGCGAGGACTTTTAAGATCATAACATGAACAGTAAAAGTACAAAAGATAGTTTTGAAAGGTTGAACATTATAAGAACATTATATAAGCATGAAGTTTATTACTACGTATGAATATTAAATTGAAGGATAGTTTTAAACATTGAAGGAAATTTAAATATTGAGTTCCATATATTAGATTAATCGACTTCTGTAGAGAATTTAGTTTATAAGTTTTACAGTAATCTTATTCACAGAACGTGACTTAGTTGTTATGTATATCAATAACAGATTGTAAATTAGCGATGGTATATTAGTATCAGTTGTATCTTAAATAATTTTCCATGCTAGCAAATAGGTTTTTATATCTTTTTATCAGTGCAAGGATGTGTAGTTTCATGGGTTACGCTGCGCGCCCTATGAAACTTTCTTTTCGTGGCATGCTGAAGTTCAATAAACTGCGTCATAATAATAATATCCATAATAATGAAAGAAATACATGTTTCCGATTGATTTTTCTCTTAAGTGGAGATGGATAGTGTTGTAGTAAAGCGTTTTCTGCGCAAGCACCCGGCCAAATATCTCATTATCTGACCTCAGCAGTGCTTAACCGATCAGAATTTGTATCAGACTAACCTTAGATAAAATGTCAAGCTGATCACATTTCATTTTAGATGACCAATTTGGTGATGAAACTTTTGCTTTCTTTGCACTTGGTACCATCAAGTCTGTTACTAGAGGCTTTGGGGACTCACTCACTGGAAAAGACGAGCTGCTACAACGGGCAAGGGGAGAAACAACCGTTGACAGTTCTCGGTTTCTGTAAGGCGTAATGAAAAGCGGACGAGGGACAGACGTCCAATGCTTTGCGTTGGCATTCAAAGGGGTGCTAGTTCTTGGTGATGGACTATGTTTGGTTTTGAAGCAGCCAGGGGTTGTGGCTCGCAATGGGTTCAACGAGCGAGTGCTGTCTGATCCTCTGAAAAATACAGGAGCAATCAATAAGTATAAGATTACTACAGCAGGCAAACATGCGACTCCACGCAAAAAACATCATTGGCTGAATTAGCCAAATGAAGTAACAATTAATGGCAAGGGAAGAATAAGTAGAATCACACGATTTTCTTTTTAACACAATTCCTTAATACCTTGATCTGCACGTGTTTTCGACTGTGGCCAGGCGCGCCCGCAAAGGAGCACGAAAGTGTACCCTCCGATCATGGAAAACACCTGAACAAAATAGAAATATAAAGAGAAAATAGTTAAGCATAGACAGAGAAAGAGAGACTTGAGAACGGCCAAAAAAATGAGGTCACATGATAAGTTATAAGAAAGGTCATGCCTTAGGGGTTTTAACCAATGTCAAGAAAATACCTGATGGTGTTGTTGAACACGGTTTCATTCCACTCCGAGTATCTCTATGAGTTCTGTTTAGCATGTCCTCGCCACACCTCACCTTTTAGAGTGTAACGAAAAAAAAGGTGACGACTACACAAAGGTTCGAACTTCAATAATGTTCGTACATATGTTATAAGAACACAAGCTTGGATTGCTTAAAAAATACAAGCACATAGGTTTGGGAAGCAAACGGATTGGAGCTTTTAGTGTACTTATCGCTTGCCCCTCAAGAAATGAATGGCCTCTAATGAAATGAATGGAAACAGAACATATGAAACGAAAGAAATCACTTTAAACCCAAAAACGTCTCTTAGCTGAATCAGACGTCTTTTTGTGTCCTTCTAAACAAAGATCGAGCAGGACATCGCTCTCATTTTCTGAGCAGATAGCTCTCTGAAGACTTTAGTTAGTGCGTGAAGGGGAGAAACAACTGAATAATATTACTTACGGGTGTTGAGTGGCGCCTTTGAGGGTCTTCCTTACAACAATGAGACAACCCTGTGTAGACAAGGAAATACATGTAAAAAAAACATCATATTTTTTCTTAGGCGAAAAGCTTTTTATCACTAAGCCTAAAACGAAAATATATATTAACCATCAAAGTAAGAAAAAAACTGAGACGAAAAAAGAGGGAGTAGGAAATGATTACAGTGAGGTCGGTTATTTAATCAGATAAGGCACACATTCTTTTACCTTTAGCACTTCCTGTCATTGAAACTGCACTTTTGCTTAATGAATCCCATGCAACAGAAGCCTTATCGTATTCTGAGACATCCAAAGAAGATTCATATGCCAAGAGGGCTTCAGAACTTTCGAGAATCTCACGGGACACCGCATCATCGTGTTCAACTGAGCAGCGTCCGTCATGTAAAGGCATGGACCTTCCAGGAACCACCGCAGTTACAACGTGACAGTCGTTGATTAAAGTATCTGTATCCTGATCAACAGGTTTCCATCCGTTCACTCTTTTAAATAAAGAATCGTCTAAAATTCGTTCTGTTCCTGACCTGGACTTTTGTATATCATTCTCAATGCTAGCCATAGTGTCTTTTGCCTTCTCGAGTGCTGATTCCGAGATCTGTATCGTTTTACCATTTGCAGTTTGAAAACCAGAAAAAAATGCACTGGTTACGTTTGCACCGTTTTCAGAAGAACAATTTGTGGGCTCATTGCCGTCTACGTTTTTCTGAAAAGATTGGTCAGCATTCTGCAGGTATGCAGCCCCATTTTCCAAGGAACTACTGCCCTTATTTTGCTCAATGGATTTGTCAATCTGTCGCATGATAGCCATTCCTCTCTCTATAGATTGTTTTTCAAAGTTCACTTTCTGGCCGCTTGCCGTTTCAGATAAAGTACTCACCTTGTTTCGGTGAAGGAAATTATCAATTTCTTGCATTATAGCCGTTCCTTTCTTCATTGACTCCGCAGACAGTTTTACTTTCTGACCACTGGCAGTTTGGAAACCAGAAAAGCCAGTTGAAGGTGCAGAAATGTCCTTGTTTTGCTGCAGAGAATCGTGATTCTGCTGCACTGTGGTCGCACCTTTCTCCACTGACCCCTCAGATAGCTTAAATTTCTGGCCACTAGCGGTTTGGAAACCAGAAAAGGCATTTGGTGGTACATTGGTCTCCCTGCTTTGCTGAAGGAAATTGTCAATCTTTTGCATTATAGCCGTTCCTTTCTCCATTGACTCCGCGGATATTTTTACTTTCTGGCCACTGGCAGTTTGAAAACCTGAAAAGCCAGTTGAGGGCGCTGAGATCTCCTTGCATTGCTGAATAGAATTGTCAATCTTTGGCATTATGGCCGCGCCTTTTTTCATTGACTCCTCGGATAGTGTCACTTGTTGGCCATTAGCAGTTTGAAAACCAGAAAAGGCATTTGGCGGTGCAGCAGTCTCCCTCTTTTGTTGTAGAGAATTATCAATTTTCAGCATTATAGCCGTTCCTTTCTCCATTGACCCCGTGGATAGTTTCACGAGCTGCCCATAAGCAGTTTGGAATCCAGAAAAGAATTTTGGAGTTGCAGTGGTGTCTCTATTATGCTGAATGGAATTGTCAATTTCCTGCATTATGGCCGAACCTTTTTCCGTGGACCGCTTAGAGAGTTTCACTTTCTGGCCACTGGCAGTTTGGAAACCAGAAAAGGTACTAGAAGTTTGAGTGATGTCCCTGTTGCACTGAAGGGAATTATCAATATTTTGCATTATAGCCGCTCCTCTCTCCATTGACTTTGCAGATAGTTTCACAAGCTTGCCACTAGCAGTTTGGAAACCAGAAAAGGCTTTGGAAGGTGTAGTGGCGTCTCTGTTAAGCTGAATGGTGTTGTCAATTTCCTGCATTATGGCCGCACCTTTTTCCAAGGACCTCTTAGAGAGTTCAACATTCTGGCCACTGGCAGTTTGGAAACCAGAGAAGGTACTTGAAGTTTGAGTGGTGTCCCTGTTGCGCTGAAGGGAATTATCAATATTCTGCATTATAGCCGCTCCTTTCTCCATTGACTCTGCGGATAGTTTCACAAGCTTGCCACTGGCAGTTTGGAAACCAGGAAAGGTAGTTGGAGATGCAGTGGTGTCCTTGTTATGCAGAATGGAATTATCAATCTCCTGCATTATGGCCGCACCTTTTTCCATGGACTCCGCAGACAGTTTTACTTGCTGACCACTGGCAGTTTGGAAACCAGAAAAGGAAATTGGAGGGACAATTTTTTCCCCGCTTTGCATCGTAGTACTGAGTGCAGTGGTTTCTTCCGATGTAGAAATGCTTGCAACTTTAATCGAAGTGCGCCACGCGGTGTTTTTTCCCGCATCATCAGGGAGAATTTCTGTTAAAACATTTCCATTGCACTCTGAAGAGTACTCATCATTACAAAGTTTATGTCTCAGTTCCCAAGAGCTGTTGACTGCACTTGTCGTGTTAATATCAGGTTCCTCCACTTTATCACTCTCCTCGCTGATAGCGATCAAGGAGTCTCGCCTTTTGCACTTGAAGTCATTCAACAAGTCTTCGAGTAACGAATCATGAACATTTTCACCATTGTTATTTAAAGAACCACCCACGACATGCGTGGGACTCTGCAAAGTTATGTCCTTATTTTCTGTTTCCCCAGCTCGTGCTGTAGAAGATTTCTTTTTCAAGTGGTCCTCCAGAGGTGCACTTTCACGCTGCTTTCCTTCAACCGGTATGTATGCAGCTAGAGCAGAATCGGGATCATCATTCCCACTGGCGGGTTCCTTAGCCACAACACTAGAGAACGCGGCTATCCTGTTAGTTTCAGAGCAAGTCTTTTCTTGTAGACAAGGCTCATCACTAATTGCATCCTTTAAAAGAGGAATTTCCCCCTTTTAACCCAAATTGTCATTTATGTTATAAGCAGAGGCGAGCCCGTTCACTGGATCCCTTTTACCTCTTTCCATAGAGAAACATGGATCCTCTTTTGCTTTTTCAACTCCCTTGTCATGGACAATTCTGCTAGCTTTCATGTCGTTGTCTACTTCACTTAGGGTTTTCCTTGCGCTCCGCATTGCAGATTGAGATATGTGAATTTGGTTGCCGCTAGCTGTCGAAAACGCACAAAATCCAGGCAGCACAGACGATTGTACTCTCTCGAAACCAGTAAGGTTTTCATCGCTTGTCTCACCAACTCTCTTTTTCAAGCTTACATCATTTAAGTTAGGGGCGAGGCCGTTATTTTGTGTTGCATTACATGACGTACTAACCTCAGGCTGTAGATGTCGTAGTACTTGCTTACTTTCACCCTCACACAAACCCAACGAATCCTCAATCTTCTTAATGGCAGCTTTCGCTTTCCCCATAGCTTCAAGAGTTACAGACACGTGTTTTCCACTTGCTGTTTTGAAGCCTGTAAAGCCTGTTCCGTCCGTCACGAACGACTTAATGTTCTTATCTTCGCTCGAAACGTAAACTCCTGTTTTCTTGGGAGAAAATCTTTCGAAATATTGACAATTGTCGGCTTGCGTGGGCTCTAACCCTCTGCTCTGAGGTTCGTGCAAAGCGGTTATTGTAAGTTTCCCTGCCTCGATTAAGTTATTTTCCCAGACTTGGTCATCATCCCCGACTATTTCGTCTGCTAACGATGGATATTTGCCATCATCAAGCGAGGCTACCGCTCTACTATGTGATACATCCGAAATCTCCCTTGTGTTCCCATAAACGGGCTGTAATTCTTCCTCCTCTGTACACCTCGATGATGGCTCCTTGCTGCCATCAAAAAAAAGAAGCTCGCCTGGCTTAACGCTTTCTGTCACGTCCTCCTTCTTTTCTTGGCGTGGTCTCGATGCTCCCGGTGGAGAAGAACAAATGTATTCCATCGGAAATTGAGTGAGAGCATCCATATCATAAAGAAAAACGTCTTTTTCCTTGCTATTCACTATGGAAGATGGGTTCAAATTGTTCTCACTTTTGCAAGACGCACTCAATCCCTCAAACTTAAGTCTTTTTGAAAGTGGCATTTCAATATCATTATCCCTGCTGTTGAGGGTAGCACAAAGAGCGCTATCATCGTACCTCTCACAGTTCACTGAGCCTTTTCCTTCTCTAATGCTAGGGTTTTCCTTTTTCGCAGTTAATGAAACATCATCATTTGTAAAAGTTCTTTTGATACTCTTTCCAATGTGGTGTTCACCAACTTGACTCGCGGAGGGATAAGAGAATCGTTTGGTTCGAGCTGAGCGTCGAATTCCGGAGACTTTGCCGAAAGACCTTTTTCTTAAGTAGTTACTACGACCATGCAATGACTCACCGGCCGGCGCACTAGATATCATGATATCATTCTTTCCTACCAGGGTTTGCAATGTGGTTCCATTTCTTGGGATTTGAGCAGTCTCTTGAATGCAATCGGTTGGCTGGGAGACGGTGCTCTTAATCAATTCATCGTCAATGTTCTGTGACTGAGCGTTTAAACTTACGGACAATGATGAACCTATAAAAAGAACAAGCCACTGTGAAATGAACTTTTTGATTCTGTTAAACTCGTAAAGTAATGGCAAGCAATTTTTTGGAATCATAGGTTAAAACGTTATCAATTTCTCCCTTTAATTATGTTCTTACGTAGTCTAGACTGACCCCGACAGTAGGGCGGTGGCTGGGGCGTTGAAGTTACTGAAGGAAGGCGGGGAGAGCGTAACTATAATTCAATATGAGCCAGAAGAAAACCGTAAACATCTCCGGCTAATAAAACAGAAGAAAGTGCTCTCGTTGATATACTTGGAGCCGAGAATTGGCACCCTCGTTTGGGTCTCTTACGTCAAATCCAAGCATTAAAAGGGCTTTCTCTTCTTGATGGAGGGAGTAACACTTCAAGTTCTGTGCCTAGGTATAAAAATCGTGGAATCGGTGTTTTTAAGATTAACCATGCGTGAAAGTGAAGTCCATAACGCCTCACGATCGTATTGTGAGATATAAGAACGCAAAGAAGCGATAGAATAGGACGTTAGGGCCTGACGCAGCCCAAGAAATTATCATAAGTCCAAGGGAATTTTGTTAAAATAGTTTTTAGTGATAGCTGAATCATTGAAAATTACAGATTATTAAGTAACAGATAGTCGGCATAGACAAACCGCAAAGACAAAGAACCTACAAAAGAAGGAAGATGGCTAAGAGAGATGGGGGTGAAAAGTCAATGCCGAGCTTCCAGAGAGCTTGTCAAGACACACTACAAATGACCAACACCTCTTCTGACCTGATAACATCATCTGAGCTTCGGTTAACATTACTAATGAATAACCGAGTGACCTAAAGACAAATATTAATCTAAGTCAATTTTATCTAAAAAAAAAAAAAAAGTGCATCGAGAACAGGGCTCCCAAAACAGATTATAATAAAACAGAGAATACGTACGACAAGCGATGAAAATATCATAAAAAAAAACCAGAGCTGATTTCATTGTTTTCAAAATTTTATTCACATTTAGAATATCTCGATGTTTTGGTTTAAACCTCTCTGCTATAGGTCATCCAATAAGACATAAAGACGCTCTTAGAGAAAACTCCTTTATGTCTACTGGCGCCATGCAGTGGATATTTACATTAATTACACATAAACTAAAGCTGATCATAAAGCATGCAAGCGGAACCAGATGTTCTCTATCGCTGAGGTGTAAACCACACAAAGGGAGAGTTTCTTCGACTGATCGGCGCATTTATTACCTTCGTTATGACCCATTTAGCGTCCGTATGCTTGTTACTTGCTGTAGCGCTGTCTTCAACATTTTGTGCTGAATCCCGACGTTTAAGGCTTTTACCAAGCGAAGGTAAGGGCGGTTTATCTAAAAATTTTTAGCTGTTGCTTAGCAAAACCGCATTCAAGACATGACGGTTCATAGATAACGCTGAAAAAAACATCGACCTAAAAAGTTCACATGATCACTGCGGAGACTACACAGCAATGAGAGACCTAGTGGTCCGTGTATTTCTGAAGTCATATTTGTTAACATAATAGCTCCTGTAGGTTTAGAAAGTTTTTTTTTTAAACGAGGATCACTCAAACCATTCCGGTTCGCGAAGAGTTCCCACGCAGTTAGTTAACCAAGTCTCAGCACCTTTTGCTCGCCATTTTATATCTTTCTGCCAATTTGCTTGAGAACATTTGGATCATAAATGGCAATGTTAGCAAAAGTTATGGCCAGTATTTTGAGTATATTCGACTAGCATGAGGCTACTTCTTAAATGAGAGAAATTTCTTAAAAGACAGTGGCTGTTTACATGTAGGTTTCTCCTCTTTTGACAATTAAAATAAATTGCCTTCCGCGTGAAGAATATTCATCACGCCATGGACGTTAAACAATCCATTTAACAAAAAATCATCATTGTTTAATATATACGGACACTAATACACCTCTTTTAAATGCAAAACCGTCTGCTTGGTGGATGAATTTTCTATTACCAGTAAAAACATAGAGGGAAGGTTTAAAGAAAGCTCTCGGTGGTGATAAAAATTACTTTCCTTTACAATGTGTTAAAACCAACCAATAAAACGCTTTCAATTCGTCGGCATATAGATTCGATTTCGAATTCAGCGGAAATTTGCATTTCAAATGCTTGGTTTTTCGAGTGACTAATAGTAATAGACAACGTCAGTGGCGCTCGAGGGCGTGCTGTGCAAAGTGGTGCCCTATGCACCTGTTGATTTGCCTCGTTTCCACTTTCAAAATTATATGCGCCGAAATAAAAAGGAAGAAATGCTCAACTTTTAAGCCTGAAGAGTTTAATAAAAGCTTCAGCTGCTTCGAAAAGGCCTCTTGTGATACCATCAGTTTTTTGAACATAAATATACTTGACTACAATTTTATGCAAAAGCGTGGATACATCACATTTTCAAAGCGTAATTGTGACATTGAAGCATTTTCATATCAAACCCATGTCAACAAAAGGTAATCATTTGACTGTTTGTCGCATACTTCATCTTAAATACAATCTAATTATGGAACTCTGCCGGCAACACTAAACAGTTTTAAGTCCATATTCACGGAAAACTAATAACCTTAAAGCTGCACTTTTTCAAATGAAACGACACAAAACTCTGTCTTACAGAGGGGTAATTCTAATAATTATTATTGTTTACAATGCTCGTACTTTCGTGAGCATCAAAGTTTTAATACGTATCCCGCGGCACATAATTAACTTGAACACTGCGCGAGGAACAATGTTCACAAATGATGACGTTACATTTGAGAGAAAAAAAAAAAAAGAAAACATGAGAAAACAGCACGCGGTACAGGTCTAAAAGAAAACTTGAGCTTCAACTTAATTCGACAAAAAACGTATATGAAGTGAAGTACTAAAAGTAAATATCCGATGTTTAACGGTCGGGAGGTGAGCGCTCGAGGTCTACTGGCTAACGACAAGAGATGCACTTAAGAACGACCGGAATCACCTGAACCGGAAAATAACTTTCTTTTCCCCCGCTAGTTTGCTTTTTTTCCACTCTGCCGCGAATGGCACGGGGTGGTGGAACTCTTCTTACCCTTCTTCTTCCCCGCTTTCCCCTGACTTTCCAAGAACTTGGAAGGGTGCCAACGTAAAACTTTTCTGTCTGATACTAGACATTCAGTATCAAGCTTAAGGTAACCAAACTAAGCCTAGCCTTGGTAACGAGAGGCTCCACAGAAGACCACTAATAGAACTTATGGATTAACTTTCATGGCAATTTTAAATATTTACATCCGAAATTTTCAATTTCCTTATCCAATTTTTTCTTTTAACTCAAAGATGATAAACCAAAGAAGGGTGAAGAGGATTTTATCAATTTACGTAAGTACTCCAACTACGTCGATAATAAATACGTCAAATTTGTTGTTAAATCTTTTTTTTTTCTTCAAATCTTGCAAATGGCTGGTAAAACTTTGTAAAATTGCAATTTTGCAAAATCGCAATTTCATTTGCTAGCAGATTAATTATTGAGAACACAAGACACTTTCCCGATGCCTCATTGATATTCAAACAATTCTTGACATTTTCTCTTTCTCTGTAAACGTGATATGCGTGTGACAGCGACGTGTGGTAAGTCCACGGTAGGAGGAAGCCGGGTGGTTGCTGGCACGGACGCTTCGTTAGGCGAATGGCCCTGGCAAGCAAAGATTCTAACCGAAGGCACCTTCACTTGTGGCGGCTCGCTCATCACACCATCGTGGGTTATGACTGCTGCGCATTGCATCTTTAAAAAAGATCCTAGTTTGTACAGAGTGACGCTCGGTGACCTACACAGAGAGAAGCCAGAAGGTAGCGAGCAGGAGTTCCGCGTGAAAAAAGTAGTGGTTCATCCCAAATACAATTGGCCAGTTGTCATTAACAACGATATAGCCTTGCTGCAGTTGACACGATCAGCTAAAAAGACTTCCTTTGTGAACACGGTGTGTTTACCTGATGAGGCCGAATTGGTGCCAGTAGGAACAAAATGTTACATCTCAGGTAAACATAGATTAAAATTGTTCGTGAATATCAACTGACAGCATCCCTAACCACAACTTTCTAAATTACCATAATTTTATGAAAAGATTAATTCTTAGTCCGCTCCCTAGCAAAGTTTGATTTGACAGTAATGAATTATGAGAAACCTTCAGCGTTTGCAATCCCGCGACATTTCTAGGTCCAACCACGATTTCTTCCAAGGAAAAAAGAGGAACTAAGCCGAGCTTTCTGTACCACTTGCAGTACAATCTTTGTCAACGATATTTGATACACTGCAAATTTCTGTTTCAAACAATTTCCATCGAGGAAACGGTTGTGACTCAGGTTTTCAATGACTCCACTAATTTAAACTAGCAAAGACCAGCAAAAGACCAGCAAAAATAACTGCGAAAGGTAAAATTGTTTAGATCATAGCTTTTGACAAGGCAGATGTTGTAATGCTACGGTTTCCCCCATTATAGGCTGGGGACAGATGACTCATCCAGACTCTGCCGCTATCAAACTCCAACAAGCCCCCATGCCCGTAGTGTCCAACCGCGACTGCCAAGCCAAGCATACAGATTCAACTGCTAGCAAACCAGGGGAGAGTGCCGTAACCTCCGCCATGATTTGTGCAGGAGATGCAGGCAAGACAAAGATCAGTGGTTGCTTCGGTGACAGCGGAGGGCCCTTTGTCTGCGAAAACTCCGCTGGGCAGTGGGTGCAGCAAGGTATTGTGAGCTGGGGGGACACCACCTGTTCTTCAAAAGCTCACTTTACCGTATTTGCTCGAGTGAGCGTATTTAGGAAGTGGATCGAGGACCAATTAAGCGAGTAAATTGGCTACGTCGACCGAAAACACCGCTGATATATTTGTTAAGTTAAAACTGATGCATATTTAAAGAATAGCTTGATATTCGAATAATAAGATTGAAAGGATTAAAGCGATGGATCAGCCGACTAAGGACATCCTTTACCTTTTTCAGCCGAAATATGAATCAGACAATTCACAGTGAACAAAGGGAAAGGTTCACAAGTAATCTTTCATTGACGAATATAGCGCTTAAGCAGAGACGCAGTGACCCAATAGTTAGGGCTGTACTTCAGATACAACGGTCCGGGTTCGAGCCCTGACCGGGTCATTATATTTATTCTGTGGGAAGATACTTCACCTTCACTGTGCCTCTTTCCGCTAACAGCAAATCTATCGGAAAGTTCACGAAAAAGCTAGGGAGGGTAGAGGGAGGTAGTTACCTGGTCCGAGTTAGCCTCCCGCCGAGTCGAACAAGTTGTACTAGTGATAGCCTTAAGTACCGGCATAGGCTCCAACGGCAATGGGTCCTTAACCCCAGGCCTAAATGTACGTGTTGGCCTGAACCTCTTATTTATAGCTTTTCTACTGCTGATTGCAACACGTTCTTGTCTCCCCTCTTGAAACTCAGCTCTATGAATCATGTTTGGGCTAACTTTTAAAACGATTAAAGTTGACTGACGTTTTTGAGCTGGAGAGGGCGACTGGGAGGAAAATGAAATTGTATCTGGAACGCAACGAACTTATCCAGTCAGTCGACAGGCACTGTTCCAAAATTTAAAACAAATGCCATACAAAAAAGATGTGTCAAATTCCAGAAAAAAGAAATATGAAGTTCAGGCTGCAGTTCTTATAGGAATCTCAACTTTCCAGTTTTGCTCGATCAGTTAAAAAAAAAAAGGCATAAGAAAATACCAGGCACATTTTTATTTTCAGCCAAATACTTATCTCAGCAAATTTTACTCGGCTGTTTTTAACCTTGTCATTGAAATAACCTTCAACCAGACTGAACGCATCCAATTTCCAAATGAGAACTATCCGAAAGTCAACTTGAAAAAAATCACGGCAGAGGGACAATCGAAAAGACCTGTTGGTTTTGGACAGAAAGCTGTTCAGAGATACGTGTAATAGCCTAACTGAGATAAACCTGAAAAAGTAGACATTATTCTAATATTATTGAAGACAATCAAACTCGTCATACCTAGTCCGGAGGTGCGTGAATCTTTCTCTTTCCCAGAACACAGCTTGTCCGCCTCGCGAGCCATGGCCAGTTCGAACGATCTCGATGGTGAACCGAAAGTAACATCAGTAACCTCGAGTTTACAATCTAATTCATCTGCGTAGCTGGTATCACCTGACGCAACATGGACTTCCACATTGCCGCTAATGTCACACAATTGGTTGAGCGTGCAGTTGTGCACGTTTGTATCACGTGGAAGGCTGGTGTCGTGGTACGTAGTTACGATCTTATCATTAATCCTTAGCCTGTTTTTTACTTTGTGCTGATCGTCTTTGAAAGACTGCTTTGGAGTGGACTGGGCTAGGACTTGAAAAGGACTCTGACTTTTGGGTGAAAGAAAATTGTTTGGAAGGGGTGAATGTAACAAGCTCGCTTTAGCAGACGGTGGAGAAATGTACGTCGTTTTACCAGCAACATCTGCATCAATTCGGCTAAGAGGCCTTTTAGCAGACGATGTATGTTTAGATATCCCTAGCAATGGTTCTGAAAGAGTTACATCACTGCGTTTTGACTCCTCGTGACAAGAATACTCCATAACAAATTCCTCTTCTATGAGTGAGCTATCTGTCCCTATTCTTGGAGCTGTTTGTAACGTCGAATCCTTATTCTTCAGTGGCACCAAAGACTTTTCTTTCACCTTAACCTCGTCCAGAGACAGTTCCGTGGCTTCTATCGACTGATTCGAGATACATCCCGAGAATAGGACACGGGCAATGCGCTGAAATATAACGTTATATTATGGTAAAAGACAACATGTTAGGTCTTGTTTGTTGTAAAAATTTATTTTCCAGTTGAGGGGCCTTGAACAACCTTGTTCTTGGAACTAGGGCACAAGGGGGACATCTGCTTCATCAGTTTGAAACTTTCCTTTGGCAAGAAGGCAGATCACAGGCCCCTTAAAAACCCACAGTTACGCTATGACATAGATTTTGATGCAAAAAATTTAAAAGAACTTGGCTACTACACATTCGTTCCACCCTTCATAATTAGCCCTTAGGTTATGTTCACTTTCCGCACTGTTTTTAAGCAATATCTCAGTCTCACCATAACTTTTTCGCCTTATATCACTATCGAAAGATCATACCAACACCAGGACTACCTTGATCGCATATCGCCAAGGAAAAAGCAACAAAGCCAAATTAAGGAACATGAATTGACTGTGGTTGTGGTTTTTTTCCTCTATGACATTGTAGATCACATGGGTAACAAATGCTGCGCAAAGAAATTTGCAAAGCTGCCCAATCTCTCTGTCTGATGAGTAGTGTATACCTTAGCTGGTATTTGCCCTTCCTCTCCCATCAAATTTTCATCGGTCTTCTCACCGTCCGTTTGGCAATCAGATGGGTCTGCAAAATGAATATAATGATACAAAAGAACATGAGAAGAAACTAATGTAAGAGAAAGATTTCTTTCCAGGTGCTAGTCGCAATACTCGAGTACAGAAAATAGTGCAAACATCTTTTTCAGACTTCGACGTATCGACCACCAGATTGCTGGCCTCATTTAACGATGAAGTCGGGTACCAATACGTCGTTATCAACAGAAACTCTGTTCCCTCCTATTGGTAAATTTTGATGTGTTTTTATTGACGTATTTCGATTCTCGCTTCCATTCTGACTTGAAGATTTTGGTTTCCAAAGAGTGGCTCTTCATTGCAGACAATTCAACTGCAGACAATTCAATTGCAGACAATTCAACTGCAGACTCCATAACATATAACTGGGTATTATCAACTGTTATATGCTAGCCACAACTCAGGGCGATGATTTAGACTGATCACGAGTCGCAGCATGTAAAACGTTGGTCTGCGGACTAAAAAAAAACTATATGCAAAGCAATAAGATTCCAAATGAGATCTGAGGTGCGTTGGCGGGCAAGTGAAACACTTAGTTCATTATCAACTGGAAAACCACACAGTTGCTTCATTAAATTTTGAAAAAATGGGTTTCTTCAGCCCTCCGTTGAAATACAGACTCGAAACGTGAGCATTTTAAAATCCTTTACGACGATTCAGTTACGTCAAATTCTAGTTGTTGACAATTATTAAAGACTCAAATAGCAGTTCAAAGGACTTCCCGTCAGTCCAATTTTGCGGCGAATGTCTAATTTTTGTGATTTGAGCAAGAATAATTAATTGTAAAGAAATTAAATCAGGAACTCAAGCTTTGCTGATGAATAAAACAAGACAACGCTCCAGGCTACATTCTACAACGAAGAAAATTTAAGGTTTCCCTGGATCAATTTAATCATCCACCTACACAAGCCATGACAAATGAACCAGGCGCCTGAAGCAACTTTTGGCTGAAAACGAATCATGTTCACAATTTCCAAGTTCCTTGAATAGAATATCACTAAACATTACAAGCACAGATTTGCACATTTAGAAGGAATGTCTTCATCGCAATCATGTCAGACATCAAATACGAGACTAAAGATAAGGAAATCATGCATTAGAAAAACCCTCAAGTAACGTCGACTCTCTTCATTTGGACGCATGTTGGTAATTCTAACCCAGACAGAATCAAGAGCTAGCCATTAGTTTATTTTGAAGAGTTTTCCCTTAAGCCAAACAGCTTATAGTATCAACAAGGTGTGTAATATTCAGAAAGTAAACGTGAGGTATCAAAAAATTGAATCGTTTGATTCCCAGTAAAGAAGGAATAGGTCCTCAAAAATTCTAGAAATTTCTTGGAGGGTGGAGAGAAGAAAGAAATTAGGGTTAGAATTTATCCAACTCCAAATTGTCAGAGTTAAAATTATAGACTAATGCGTACCAGACAGTGAGGAGAAAATAATATCTAGATGTTAAGAGCAAAAGGGTAAAAGGGCACATGTTGGAAGAACCATTACGCAACCAATGTTCTAGGTCACTCTTGTTGAATTTAGAAGACTGCGACGCATTCACATCAGCATGCAATGTGGAAAGGAATGCTGCTACCAATAAGTGTATGCTGTAAACCAATTCATGGGTCCGAGAGAAAAAAAAAAAAAACAAGAAACAAGTAAAGGACAAACAAAACAAGATTCCTTGTTTCATCGCCGATTTTCTGACGGACCATCGAGAGTAACGACGACAACACAAGTACAGTGAGCTCGAGATGTCTCCTCCTTACTGTTCCCGTCAATTCCTTTGATGCATGCCGCTTGTTAAAACTTGATGCTGCTTAATTGTTTTTATCTATTTAAAACTTAGGTGATGTTTTGACTCCAATGCATAATACACGTGCCGCACGTCCTTTATAAATAAAGAGGTTTACGCTCCCTTTTTTTTTTCTTCTCTTTAAAGATTTAAAGCTCTCAAAATGATTGCTGATTCACGATAGCGGTTTAAAAGCATTCAAACCTAGAACAACCATGACACTAGAATAGAAACATTTTCGGAAAAATTTTAAAATAGGAATTTTAGGAAACAAAATTTTAGAGTAATTAATTTAAACGGCTTTTAATCCATAACAATGGCTGCGTATTATAAATAATTCAACTGAACTGGCTGAAAAGATTTAAGCAGTTACAAGTGAAGATAGAAGTAACAAATATCAGTTAATCTTGTGGTAGGTGTAACATTTAACTAAACAAAACCCATGCAATTACGGATATATTGTCGTGCGTGATGGGAACCAGTAAGTCTCTTTTATTGTTTACCTAAACAGGGAGATTTTCAGGGGGGGCCCTACACGTCTCCACGTACAACAGCCGCCGTGCGGTTGGGTTATTTCGTTTTTGATGTACTTTCCTAAGATTTGATTGTAAGACTCTTCACACAGTCTAATTGTATTCCTCGCTCTAATGCTGATACTCAATCAGGCACACTTGCTCACATTACGAAAACAAATTTTACACGGTATACGCCTACAAATGTCAAGTTCCTGAGTCATAAATTTAGACCAATGCCTTGCCTTAAAGTTTTTTTTTCGTTTCTTGCTTTTCGAAATAAGGAGAAATAAAATGTTCGGCGCTAAATTAGTGGGCATCAGTAGGCAGGAATCAATATTATACTCTAACGCCGTTTACGAGCGGGCAATAAAGATTGGCATTCAATCCTGATCACCAATTGCGATACATGTGATCTCTCCGTTACTTTCTCACCGTTATGTGCAACTTTCATGAAGGCACTGTGCTGCGCCACTGTTGATGCATGTAGGGGGATTTAGCTTAATTATTTCAAGTTTGTCTTTTGTAAATCCGTTAAGTTTTTGCTCCATTGTGGTTCATTCTTGTTCCATTTTAGTTTATGATTACCTTTTTGGTGTTTCCCATAACAACAAATGGAAATTTTGTAGTATTTTTCATGTTGAAGATCTTTTCAAACGGCGTACAATTTTGACAACAAATTACGCTTCGTAGCTCCTTTAGATATCAGCTGTTTGGAAATTTTTGGTCGAGTCGGGAAGTTATCTTTTTTGAGCTTATCTCCAGGATAAAGATAATGGTAATATTTTAAAAAAATTCATGTCTACTTCTTCCAACAATTTCAATTTCATAAAAGGTCTTTCGGCCATGTACATGTATAATTTATTTGAATTCATAGAGATGACTGAGTCACGGGTTTCACGAAGTAAGAAAGAATATACTTTAAAAAAACAAAACAGAAGCACTTGAAACATTCATGAACCGTTACCCGTGAGCAAATGAGCGGAGGTTGTAGAGATCTATGTTCATGTTCCCCCTAATTCCATACAACTTCCCGAGCTATCTCCTCTGCATTCCGCGCCCGTGCACCAGAAACTGTTTACAATCTACATTTAATTAACTACAATTCAAACATTGCCCGCTTCACTAAAAAGATGATCCCCAAAATAGACAGGTCCATTAAGTTTACGTTGAAAATCAGAGATAGATATCGTGAACACTAATTATTTTGCTGCATCTTTGCGAAACCGTTAGCCCAAAAGCGACAGACCATCAATAATGAATTTCCCACAAGGACGAATGACTAAAAGCTCCTGTACAAAATAGCCCGCCCCAAAGTGCGCAAATCAGTGCAATTCGATAACCGCGAATGAGATATACGAATCATAACTCAGCAAGTAAGTTTGTTGGAAAAGTAAAAGTGGGATCCAGCGAAGAAGATGGCCAACTAACATTGTCAAGTTGATAAAAATAGAGTGTTTAATAAAGTTCTTTAACCAATAGTGGATCCATGGGAATCGATAGCTTTCCAATGACGCATTCATAATTAATAACCTCACAGTCAGAGACGAACTACCTGAGGGAAAATATGCATTTGTATCGATGAAAATACATGTACACGGCACTTGAAAACTAATTAACACACCGGAGGCAAGATACAAAAGTCGTAAAAAGACCTCGCTGGTTTATAAAAGCATGCACTTACCTATAAATACACACAGCTGTACATGAAAGAACTGGAGTCATTAACGAGAAATAGACATTTTGCCAGAAGAGAAACGCCGGCACAGATAACAAAACGGTTTGTGAACCGCAGAGAAGTAAAGTGGGTTCAAATGTACGAAAGCAAAACACATTCAACGCGCTAATTCTCGCCTATGAGTCACGTTTTCAACGTCGATCATTAACACCGTAAAGGGATTTCTCCTACCTCCAGCTGGTTCTGTTGTCTTTAACGGCGGAGTTGCCATCGATTCGGACCATTCTGTGATGTCGTCCTCATGACCTCCAGCTAACAGGCGCGACAAAGATGATTCTCTTTGGCCCTAGGGATAAAAAAAAATTAACAGAGAGTTCCTACACAGTTCTATTACTGGAATAACAAACCAACATTAAATCAAGACGTACTATAAATATTCGAGTTTGTTTGAGACACCAAGGCATCGATCGAGTTGTTTGGAGACGGACCTGATGACTTGATTTTCCTTTTTCGTTCGCATGCACTTCAATTACGGTAAGTTTTTACTTAAAATATTATCGCAAATAATGCATAGAGAGCAGATTTGCATTGTGAGCAATAAAGGAAAGACAGAAACGCTCCCTGATAACCAAGAGTTTTTAATCTAGCTCCCTGCTGATTCAGGGCATCAAACGAATGTACAATGTTCCACGCTGAATACTTCGTCAATGTACCCGAGTAAAACCGGTTTAGTTCTACCAACAGTTGACGTAATTACAAGAAAACCTAACAGGCATAAAAGTAGTTTTTTTTTTTTTTCGGATAAAGGTCGTAAAGCTACTGCCTTAAAAAAAAGAAAAACAAAAAAGAAAAACAAAACAAAACAAAACGAAACAAAAAGGACCGGTATAAAAATATGGTCCAAAAAACTTGCTCCGATTTTACACTTTAATCATAGCAAAAGGCATGATTCGTTTCGATAGATTCACCTATTTTTTTCTTGGAGTATTCTACCCGAAGTTTTGCGTTTTGTTTTGGAATAAATTGCTCTGACACAGTGAAACAAGTTGTACACAAACATAAGACAGATGTTTGACATAACAGTCCAGTGGTAAAACAATTAATTGGGGCCTGTGAATGTGAATAAATTTCATGAATGTGTAACGTGTGATTTCTATCAGTAACAAGTAACCAAAATTAGTATTATCTCAGCATCGCATAAAGCACTATGAATTTCAATTTTCACCCGAGTGCATCCAATAGCACTACATTTGCGTGATATATGGAAGAATAAATTTAACCCAAAACCTGTGTAATTATTAATGCTCGTGGTCCAAAACAAATTCTTTTAATCATCAATCGAAGAATTCTCTTCAGCGCCGAGAGCTTTCGGATAACTGTTTGCATATAAATTGAATAAAGTATAAAAACACATTTTCACAACAATACGACCTCTAATAATTGGAAATCTTAAGGCAGGCCACGTTAGTATTTTGTGCCATATCACTGAAAACAATGTCAAAAACCTAAATTTGTAGTTGTCATCGATAGCAATTCGCCAACTCAAATCAAACCTTTTCTAACTTTCCTCGTCAACCAAAACATGCATACTCAAATTTGAAGTTACAGAAGAAATAAACAAAGCCAGAATCAATCAAAAGTCAACAGTGACGGGTTGATTTTTAGAGAAAGTACACGACAAAGTTTCCAAAGGAGTTGAGAAGCGAAGCGAAGGCAATCGACTAAAGCGATGAACGGAGCTGTTAAGAAATTCTAGAAAATCTCACGGATCTTGTAAATAAAATCTACATGCATGTAGGCGCATGCGCTATAGTCTCAAAGTGCCTTTACGTGTTTCTACTATCCACAGAAACACTTAAGCTTTTATGCCCTTGTAAGTCTCGGATCTACATACGCTATAAGTTCTTGTAGTCACAGCAAATACCTGGAAAAGGAGCTCCGATTACCATTGGAAAAATACGTTAAGACACACCGTGCACCAAATAGAGTATGTCGGAAAGCACAAAAATTCAGCTGAAAGTCAACATTTCTTTGTAGATGTAGACGTAGATTTATTTATACTCGAAATTTATGGAGCTTGTCAGGCACCTAGCTTAGATAGCTAATGAATCGAGTAGAAAATAAATGAAATACAATACTAAAAAGTTACAATAAAAATTCAGATATAATAAGTAAATATAAGGTTAACTAATTCATTAATTAATTAATCAACCAATTAATAACATTATTAAATACACTAATATAACTATATACATGCTACTGAAAAGATAGGCTACTAAACCTTCATCCAGAGTAAAAATTACATTAAGTCTAAGAGCTACAAAGGGTACAATTACATACGTCAAAAGTAATTTTCCTGATACGTGTTACAAACTCTTTTAGTGTTCGTGAAGTTCTTAAGTCATTATTTAAAGAGTTCCAGATTTTTGGACCAAAGTACCTGAAAGTATTTAGCCCATGCTTAGTAGTGTTGACTCTGGGTTGTACAAGAATTTCCTTTAAAAATAATTACTATATCATCATTTGGTCGAGCATTGAGGCATTTTAGGAGCTATAAGAGAGATTTGGGCGGACTATAGTGTAAAATCACACTCGTGTGATTGTTCAGATTAATTTTTGTAATTTTTTCAGTTTTTTTTTATTCTCACTGCCCTTCAAAGTGATAATAATAGTAATAATGCTTATATTCTTGGGCATTAATACTTTGGGCCCTTCTCAGAGTCATTTTAATCCTCGCCTAACGGCTCAGACTAAAATGACTCTCATTCGGGTCCATAACATATTTATTCCCACAAACATAAACTCTATTGTTTTATTACTCGACTTCACCGCAGACGCACGGTCTCTGTTTTGACGTCTTCCCTCGGGGGATGGACAAACTACTTAATATGGCACTGAAGTATGGAAGGATTAAGATAAAAAAAAAAAAAAAATCAGCAGGCTGAAGAAAGAAACTTCGTGGACTTTTACCAACCATTGTGATATGATCACAGACTCAACAACTGAACTTGAGAAGTCTTTGTTGAGAAAGATTTTCGTCAAAAAAAAAGTTTGTTCCATTTTGTAGTAAGTTGTAGATTATGATGAAACTTTCCTGGGGAGTTTATCAGAAAGCCTCGATATTGCACAAAGGGTATATGGTGTGGTTAGGACGTCCTAAAGTAAGTTTTTGTCAAAAAATTTTCAACTAGTTCCCTTCCGCTGGCCTTCTCTTACCAGTATTTCCGCTAAAATGTCTGGCGTTGTTGATCTTCTTGCAGACCAATCACTTCCAATTTTGTTCCTGGACAAATCCATTGGAGTGGTAGGAGTCTGAGAAGGGTCAGGGCTTCTTTCAGCTTGATTGTACTCTTCAACTCCATGACCGGTAGGCTGTGACTTCAAACCTATTTTTTTAAAATGACCAAGGGTAACATAAAACATTTATGACAAAATGAAATGAAACTTTGTGATATTTACCATATATGCATGTGCCTGGTTTTGTGTATTCTTACCACTACAGGGCCTGGTAAGTTTTTTAGTTCTAGAAGATTCATTAATGCTTGACTTACTGTTCTTTTTGTCTTTGGCTCTTAGTTTTTTTGTTTTTTTTTCGTTGTTTTCTTTTGTTTTGTTTCAATTTGAACATGCTTGGTCATTAATTAAACACCTTAAAAACTAACACAAGTACTATGTACTTTAATATTTTGGATAACTATTGCCAATAGAGCCAAATTCATGATGATCAAAAGAAGCATGCAACAGTTGCATGCACAGTTGCATAATTTCTATCTACAGCAAAGATAAAAGACCATTGAGTGATGGTATCACCTTTGCATAAAAAAACAGTTATCCAAATTCCTTTAACAAAAATTTATAGTACCATTCATGGGTACTGCATGCAATTCAAACCACATGCACTTCAAACCATGTGATTTACTCACATTTCATGAGTGCAACACATACTTTGCATCAAACAACATGAAAAGTAGATGTGCTCAAGACTCAAATGCAAGTAAATCAAGCTGCGGTCAATCAATTACATTTAAAAATAATGCCTGTACTAAGACAAAAAGAGAGAAAATATTGGAATTGTTAATTCATTGTGCTTTAAGGCAGAGGGTTGGAACATTATTATGACAGCCCTACAAGCTTACTGCATGTAGCCCAGTGAGAAATGGTGGTGATGGAGTATTATATGAATCCAAATCCTGCTGAAGAGGTTGAGCTACTATAATGCATATACATTTGTGTATGCATTGTATTGTAACACATACAGGCAGGGGTCGAATTTAATTTTTGGATCACTAACCCTTTGGGTTAGTTGACATCTTTTTTACTAACCAAATTATCAAGTTTGGTATCCAAGCTCACGAGTTTCGATATCTCAAATAATGAAAATTTTGATAATAATGACTAGGACAAATTAAAGAGTAGCTGAAATTGCATGCTGACCTTAAAAACGTTGACAATTATGCACCTATTTTATTTCCCTCTCATTTACCATGATTAGTCAAGAACAGGACATCTACAGCACATTCTCTAAAAAGAGTTTAAGTTGATTAAACAACTTGAGTATTCTAAGTATTCCTCTGAGAGGCGGGTCTATGTGCTCTTTGTCCTGAGGTATACCCATGTTTAAATACGTTAGAAAATTTTACTAACCTTGTCAGGTTAGTTGGACACATTTTTACTAACCAAAGGTTGAAAATTACTGACCATTGGTTAACGGGTTATCATTAATTTCAAGCCCTGACAGGTATATATGGAGATACAGATATGCAGTTTATGTTATTTGCCAACACTGAGGTCCAAATGGTGAAAAATGTAACTGACGTCTTGAGAAGTGAGCCTTGAAAAAGGGCCTCTCACAGTATTTTCAAGCAGCCTCTCACAGTATTTTCAAGTCCGAGATTCCATTTTTTTCACTAAGAGATCCCAAGATCCCATTTTTTTCACTACATGCACGTGAGACCAACCCTAAGGCAATAAATAAGCCACCTAGTTTTATTTCTTTCCCACTCACATCACTTGTGCAACTTAAGATCTTTTCCCTACCCACTACAAGATGCTTGGCAAGTGTAGAAAACCATGACAAACTGAATGTTTTAATGTGAAGGACCGCCTACCTCTGTGGAATAGCAGGTTCCAGATTTTAAAAGCATAAATTTGTATACAGAAAACTGTTTTTTATTTTTGAAAAACCAGGAGAAAAACTCATAAAGGCCTTATCATGACATAGGCAGTATCAGTAAAATCTAAAACTTGCAAGAACACCAATCAAATTGTAGTTTTTGTTACCTTGTTCTTTCAAAGAAAAATAAATATAAAATAGACATTTCATGTCTAGAAATCGGGAAGACTCACTTGATGTAGGACTGCAAATAGTTGACTCATCCTGAGAGAATAAAGATGATGTCTCAGTAATTTTGTGACTGTATCTTGAGGTTACTGGTGTCTTTAACCAATCACCATTCACTGGCTTGAAATCTGTGCGACAATCATTGCTGATTTTTATTTGTTGGGAGGCACCAGCATCTGGTGATGCATTCAAATCATCAAGAAAGTCTGCTGGTGTAAGGTTTTCATCATTCACCAATCCTTCACTAACTTCACCCAGCCCTATGAAAAGAGAAAAAAAAAAAAAAAAACAGACACATTTTTACAATAGTTACCTGTTTGCATGCTGAACATGTTCATTGACATCAACCACAATTCAAGGTACCAGTACATGTGTGATAAAAGAAACCAAGGGATCTGAATTTAAGCAAGGGAAGAGCCACAGTTCTCATAAAAATTGCAAATCAATGGACTTTGTTTTTTCAAGTGAAGCCTACTTACATAAATAGTTTTGAAGGACAATGACGTCATTTTTTAGCCATGTCTTATGTTTCAAAGTTCTAGGGAAAGAACAATTTATGGACCCAAACTATCACTGAATTTTGTTAACACAATATTTCTACATTGTTGATTAATAGCCAATTTGCAAAACTGAATCAGTCTAAGTTACATGTAGCATTTCAGAAAAATTAGACTTGCACTGAATATGAAAAGAACCTTTTCCTAAAACACGATATACAATGTAATATTTCCAGTGCATGAGAGCTTCAAAATCCAACACAAGTCTGTTCAGTTTATATTCAAGAAATATCTGACAACCAAAATACACTGATTCTGTGTGCATTACCATCAATGGTGTCAATATTTCTTACATGCAAAATCAAATTAAAACTGAAAAAATGTTTGTGGGGTCAACTTTGCAACAATTAGAACCCATATCAACATCTGAGTGCTTATGCAGAAAATTTATTTCCCAGGTCACTCAAAATATCCGTTCTGTTGCCTGATATTGACTGGTTTGACCACATACATGTGCTTAAATACTTTACTTTGCCTGCCGACCTTAGCTACAAGGAAGTGTCAAAAATGTTCGTTGCTACTTCGAAATATATATACATTGTTGGGTTACAAGTTATCAATTTCAGTTTTGCAAATAAAAGGTCGTGTGAACAGCTGATTTGATTTTACGAGTTAAAAGAAAAGTTTGAGAGGTTAAAATTAACATAAAATTTTCGAGCAAACAACTATTTAGGGCAGGAAGAGTACAAAGGGAGATGTGATTAGTTGTTCAGTTCGTGACTATTACCTCATAAGGCTAAAGAGGGAAAGGAAGAAAGACAAGAACTGCCACGGACAGAATTACCACCAGGCCTGTGTTGTCCAGAAAGTGATAGACAATTCAAGGCTCGTATTGGCCTTTACAGCCATTACAAAACTCATCATCAGTCAATGATGTGAAATGGACACCTATCTTCTATACAGAAGGGGAGCCAACGACGATTACCTCAAAATATACTCACGCCGTTTGCGCGTACGACTCACATCTTACATTCGAACATTGTGAAAATCATTTAACCTGTCCTAAATAATTTATTAGCACATATATTTATATTTATAATACATATATTTATAATTTATTAGCACATATATTTATATTTACTAAAGTGCAATCTTTATGATAAATTTTGGCGAGTTCGAATGATCGCACGAAAAGATTTTGAGCACTTTTTCCGACGTTACATGCAATCGACCAAAATATACATTCACAAATTACATAACGTTTACGAACCTTCTGGACAATTTCTCTCCAATAAGTCCAACCAAAAGCGTTCAGGAACCTTTCCTTTATTGACTAATACTATTTCTTGCGGTTTGGAAGTTTTCTGGGGGCACTGTTCGCTGTAACTCAGCTGTATGAACGGATCCATGCCTCAACCACCAGCCGCCATCTTGTTTTGAGATTCCCGCCAATCTAGTCCCAGTTTCTTGGGTCGCTTCAGTTTCCTCACGGCCAATTAAACAACTCTGCAAAACTGAGAAAATAACCATGGATGCAAATCAAATAATTACTCTCTCTAAGGTTGTTAATCAATGTATTATATACAACGGAATAAGCTTTAACATTCTCTGACTCATACACACGGGCTTCGGCTTGTCGGGTGAGTACCAGGGTGGTATCTCGTCTATAAATCCCTCATCATACAACAGTTCGTAAAACAGTACCTTCAGTGCTGTGTCGTGTCTAGAGAGATACTTGCTCTGGGCCAGCGCACTGCATCCTGACAAGATATGTGCCACACTCTCTGGAGCCTTACCGCATAATCTGCACCTCACCTCGCCTTCCCCGCTTGTGTGGGTCTTCTACCTCCTGTATACTCGCGTTGGCAATAGCTGCTCGTATAGCTCGACGAGTCCAGCAATTGTGTGTGATGGGCAGTTCTTCCACTCTTTGAGCCACCAGAAACACCCATCGGCACTCAAACTCTCATCCTCCAGCCTAGTAGTTACTAGACGCCCTTGCCATCGTTGGTTTCTGATCTCATCCTCTAACTTCTCAATTTGGCACCTCCGCACCTCTTTCTTGATCCCTTGCGCGTGTTCCAAATCCAACTCCAGCCCCAACTCCTCCGCGCACTTAGCCGCTTCTTTAAAAATTGACCTTCGCCCCATCCTTGCCGCTTGCTCTTCAAACTCCCGTACCATTCCCAGTGCACGATCTTCATTACCATGGAGTCTGACTGCACCCTTGATTTTTGTGGCTTTGTACTCCATTTCAACAGAGCGCAATCCCCGCCCTCCTCTACTTCTTGGCATATACAACAATGCATTCGAACTACATGGGTGTCTACCCCCACTCTCGACAACAATCTTGCGCGCTTCCCTATCAATCTGCTTAAGTTCCATCACCGGCCACTGTTGTGTCCACATAAGATATCCAAGAACAGGCAATGCAAACTGATTTGACGCTACCACCCGATTATAATCGGACAAGGGACTTGTCCAAATAACTGACAATCGTCTGAGATACTCTCTTGCTGCACACTTCAGGACCAACTTATCCTCCTGCCTAACACTCTCAAGATTATTATTATTATTATTATTATTATTATTATTATTATTTCATGTGTTGATTTGAAATGGATTAAAAAAAGTTAAACCGCATAGAGTGAATTAATTAAGTTCCGTTTCTTCCCTCTAATATGTGTATAAAATTCAAGTCACTGTTTTTTAGTTGTGGTTTTTTTTCTCTATTTATTATTTTTTTTCTAAACATCAATCATTTGAGTAATACCTTTCAAAATGGATCCGGATGCACGCAAGTGAGAATAACTCTCTTTCACTAAACAACACGATCCACATAAAATTGGCAAGGTAATTTGCGAAGAAACTGCAGTGTAAGATTCCATGCTAAGCAGAAGTTCTTCATACACATTTTAGATAAAGGTAGAGGAAGCTTAAATGATAATCATGGCACACTTTGCGGAGTAGCTTGATGTGCTGCAAAGCTTCGTTAACAATCGTCAATGCTCATTATGCATTGATGAGTTTCTTACCGAGAAAGCTCTTTTTCTTTCGACTTTTTAAATTTTTTGGATTATTTCCTGGTTCACTTTTCCTTTTACAAAATGGTATTGACTATGGTAACGCTACAATTCTAACGTTCAGTATGAAAAACAATTCTTGAAGTACATGCTTGATCTACAAAGTAGAAAACCATTTAATATATTTGCCATGCAGTCCACTAGCGGCCTAATTGTGAACAGAATGCGGCCTTCTCGCTTTACCATCAACTATCATAGAGAACAATGAGCGAAAAAATGAAGTTGAGTTGATGACTACTGACTCAACAAGAGTATGGGAGGGATCTTCGCAGTAATGTACACCACTTAAGCAGTAGTGAAAATAAGGCCTGAAAAAAATTCAGGCCTGTACGGGATTCGAACCCATGACCTTTGCGATACCGGTGCAATAACAGCTCCCAGTTGGCTTGTTGACTCAGTTGGTAGAGTAATGCACCGTTATCACAAAGGTTGTGGGCTGAATCCCGTACAGGCCGGAATTTTTTTCAGGCCTTATTTTCACTACCGCTTAAGTAGTGTTCGTTACTGCGAGGATCGCTCTCATACTCATTTCTTTAACCACAGCTCACATTTAACAATTAGTTCATAAGTCAGCGTACGTTCATCGAGATATGAAGCTGACGAGGGAAGTTTGGAGAGCACGAAAGATGCGTAAGAGTTGCTCTCGAGGCGTAGCCGAGAGCAACTCTGGCTTCTTGAGTGCTCTCCAAACTTCCCAAGTGCTTCATATCTCGATGAACGCACAGCTGACGTATGAACAATTGTTTTATAACATTTTCAACGCTGTAGTTTAAGTATAAAGGGCAGAAATTCCCTCTCCTACGCTTCAATGCGTTGTTTATTTTGTTTCGAAAAAGTATTTCGCTATGCTTCAATGATCTTGTCTCATATTCATGAAAATGTAAGCGTCAAAATCGAAGGATTTGGGTTTCTTGCTCTGTTCACGAAGAGGTGATAAGTACAGGCATTTAAAAACAGCTAAACGTATGAAACGACGTAGAGACCGAGAGCTGTCCAGAATACCGATCAACAAGGATATCAGGACCGCGAAGAAAGGAAGAGCTAGATGCAGATTCAAGGGTTTTATAAGAAAATCTATTCCTAAATGTTCTTGTTTGTACAACTTTACTGCCGACGATAAGTTCTGCTATATACGATATCCAAACAGATGTGAGGGTATAATTGCTTTACAGTTGGGCTACGATTTTTCCGTTTGATTCAATTTCACTTAACTTTCTCAGTTTTCGTATTCTTCGTGTAGTTAGTCGTAGTCCGTTTTATTTGTCGTCGTCGATCAAGTTTTTGATTGTGCGTGCCATCGGCGTAGCAGGATCGATATGCAAGTTCTTAATATTCTGTTTGTATTTTCGTCTTTCTCATATCTTTCTAACCATTGTTCACTTACGTTGTGTGCGTGTTATTTAGGGATGTCGTGCCCAAGTGTTCGCGTGGAATTTTTCTAGGAAATTTAAGTATTCTTTCATTGTAATACTGCGAGGTAAGCTTCCTGGGTACATTTTTGTCTTTTGTTTATTATGGCATGTTTATTGTGTCGCCTAGGTAGCTTTGGCCCCAGGAAAAAATCGCAGTATGTATTCTACAGAGGCGCCATCATTTCTGTCATTATCATATAAGGGGCAAAATTACTGAATTGTGATTGGTCAAGACAGAGGGCATTTTTTCTTAGTTTTTGTAATTGCCCCGGGCTAAATTACTTGAAAATGATTGGCTGAAAATCGCTTAGCAACGGCTGGCAAGGTAAAGAAATTTCTGTTTGTTTTGTAACAATGGCGTCCCGTTTTGCGCGAGATCAGTAAGAAAACATTTTGCCCCTTATATTATAAACAAGTAATCACATGGTTCCTCGTAAAATTAAGGATTAATATCACTTGTGTTTTCGGAAGTTGCAGAAATTGCCCTCGTTGCTGCGCGACTCGGGCAATTTCAGCAACTTCCGAAAACACGCGTGATATTAATCCTTAATTTTACTCGGCCCCATGCGATTACCTATACTGATTGTTCTGTTTTCCCTGTCTCTGGGTTCTTTCTCGGGAGTTAAAAAGTTCATTCCCAAAGAAAAAGTAGGCAGCTCTTCATCGGCTTGTTTGCTTATTGCCATATCTAATTAAACTTTTTTTCGGAAGTTTTTCCCGTTTTTTAATGAAAAATGCTGAAGTCACTCGCTCGAAAAGATTTTTTTCTTGAGGGATTTGTTTGTTGACGTCATGAGCATGCACAATAAGAATATGAAGTACGCTCGCGCAATTGAATTTGATTAGACAAACTTACTGGCTATGTTATAAATATGATTTTCATATATTCTCAAACGTTGACTCAACAAATTTTGCAAAGTTCACACTGGACAAAAACATATTTCAATTGAAAGAATTTGAAAACATTGCAGATTGAAGAACCCCTAATATCAGAAAAGTATTTAAAGCGCTCAAGAAAGTCAGTGTTCGGATTTCTTGGCTGTACGTCAGTAATATGAGCAAAGTGGTAAATTGTCTCAAAAAAGAGAGTTGGTGGGTATTGTTACAAGCCCACTTTGGGATTATTTTATCCAAACACTTTTCGAAATATTGAATCTACTAATTCTCTTCAAGTCTTTGTCTAATTTGTAAAATTACTTTGATTTTAGCTCCAAAATCCCTTCCCGGAGGCATCAGATATAGTTCACCAGAGTTTATTCCCAGTCCTTTCTTTGTTATCAAATAATGTTTCAATTCTTAAACGCGAAAAAACAACAAATAATACATTATGCACTGGAAACCACTAAGTCATTAAACATTGAGTTATTCAAGTATTTATTCGGTGGAAAACTTCGTATGTCTTGACGAATTTTATCCGCTGAGGATGGAAAACATTCAATTATTGTAATGCTGCTCATCCTTCTAAACAGCGATCGACAACCCTTTCCATTATACATCATTAAAGTTTAAATAAACTTTGTGTTGTTTTCTGCAGTTTCCTTTAGATCTTTCTAGTTCTATTTCAGTCGGCCAGTATTTGTAGCTCTAAGTTTAGGTCGACTCTAAAAGAGAATTTTATCATGATAGAGCGAAAATCAACGCTTCTTTCAAGGCAATATTCTCTATGTGTGTTAATTGCAAAAGATTTAATAGCTTCGATCACAGCTGTTTTGTATTTGTGTGCATTAACATAGTTCAATAACTTTATAAAAACGTCATAAATTTAAGGTGAAGTTTTTCTTTTCTTTCATTTTACAATATACAATGATATCAGAGTGGTCTCCACAGGGGCATATCCCAGGGCCAATAAAATCAAACGTAGCCAGCATGGCTCCAAACCACGCTTCAAAAAACCAATTACTGCACTAGGGATGAACATTATCTCATGTCGCTTGTAGTCGCAATTTTGTACTCTTGTTTTCTTGTTTTGATAACACCAGGCGAAAAACTAATATATCAGTGGACTTCGAGTTCCCCGGCTGTTATTGTTGTGCTTTCTTCGACGGCTTCGTAAACGATCTGAGGTGAGGTCAGTTGATTAAGTCGACTCAAAGAAACCTTTGAATGACAATGCTTCGTATAACACAGCACAAATTGTCAGAAGACAAAATGAAACGCAGGTGTGACAACGTCGTACTATAAAATATATCAAATATCAGACTGCTTGTTAAGGAAATATCACAAGATCATCTGCACAAGCTCGCTGTGGCTGTAATTTCGAGTTGGATTTGTTCCTAAATGTAACCAAACTGAGTCAAAAGACTGAAATTCACAAGATTATATGGGTAAATATCATAATTTTCGAACTTGCCAAGGTAACCAAATGTATTTACTTTTCTCCTTTGCAGTGACAGAATTATTCATTACTCGCGAATTACCTAAAAACTCCCAGACTGAATAACTTTTCTGCAAAGGGTATGAACTCTTTTTGTTCATTCCTAATATAATCTTTCTTCAAACATCTCCAATCCAAGAGAGTTATATTCGCTAGTGCCAGCTAAATTACAAAAGTGAAGAACGTTTTTATCAGGCGATTTTAGCTTCCTTGATCACGAACTTCACGCCAAAACATTTATCGGGCACGGGACAACAGAGGCGAATCTGAGCTCACTTCGTCTTGGTTGTAAACTACGAATTCGAGATAAATTATTGTCGATCAAAGTGTTTAAAATGAAAGAAAGTAATAGGAATTTCGCAAATCAAAATAACTAAAATTTTTATTTTTATAGCATTGAACTTGGTTACCTATTTTTTCATTTATATATATATATACATCACCATACTATGTGTATCACCACACGATGTGTATCAGTGTATCATACTATGTGTATCAGGTCTCAAGTTGCAACAGAATAGATTAACTCACTCAGTCGCTTTGCCATGCGTAAATCTCGCAGATCTGCCGCAATACTACGCCAATTTTAGAGAAATGGGATGAAGCACCATGTAGGTCTACAAGGATTCATCGCTTTTATTTGGCTTAAAATCATGCATCATGTACCATACCAAAACTTTAGCTGCAAGTTTAACGGTATGCGTTATTTCATTTTCCCTCTAAGCAGAGGAAGAAATGTCAGATTCAGGAGGAAAGCGCTATTCAAGCAGAGAAAGAAATAGTTAGCTTTCTGAGTCTTTAGCGGTTAAATTAACAATCATGCAATTAATTGATCGTTATCTGCTGCTATCCTCCTTTGAACCTTTTTCAAACCATTACTAATATTTTTTTCTCTTTGCATCTTATCTTTCATTCTACTGAAAAACACTCAAAAGTAAGCGAAGCAGCACTCCTTTAAGTTGTGAAACACCTTTTCTCGAGAAGACTACGATCCTCGGTCACAAGTTTTGATAAGTTTTTTCAATGGCGTGGAAACCAAGACTTTTTAGAATTATTAGTCACCTTTCTCAAAAATAATTTTAAATCCTTTTTGTTTCCTTCTTATGCATCTCAAGATATGATATGCCCTGCCGTTGTGTAACGGAAATTCCTGGAGTGAAATGAAAAAGGAAAAACATGATATCCCTACGTGAACAATTTTCCAAAGGAATATCGCGAACTCGCATTCTTTAATCTAATTATTTGTAGTTTTATCTGCGAATGAAAAAAGCCTTATGTAGTTATTTTTGGGTATTTAGATAAATATTTCCCCATCCATGAAAAGTGATGTAAACATTACTGTCATTATGTGTACCGCAAGGAATTGATTCCGTGAACTCCTAAAAAATTAAAGCACAACAAAAATTTGAAATACAACTGTTATGTAATTTCCAGCTTTACATGGATTTTCGAAGCTCTTGCCATCACATTAAAGTCAATTTTGGCACCGCCAACACTGCGTTCTTCGTCCGTTTGGGGATGCTGTGTCTTTGCAAATCATTAAATTTCTGTTTTGTGAAGCCATGCCTCAAAGATAACCACAGTGTTTCTTCAAAGTAACACGAAGTTCTCTTCGCTGGGCACCAATAGCTGAAGAGGAGAAGTTTCTTCTTCAGCTTTATTTTTCCTAGCTACCACTATGAGTCTACAACATTTAGGGAGCAGGGATGGCTCAGTGGTGAGAGCACTCGCCTCCCACCACTGTGGCCTGGGTTCAATTCCCGGACCTGGCGTCACATGTGGGTTGAGTTTGTTGTTGGTTCTCGTCCTTCCTCCGAGGGTTTTTCTCCGGGTCCTCCGGTTTTCCTCCCTCCGCAAAAACCAACATTCCAAATTCCAATTCAATCTGGAAACAGTGGACAAGAAGAGCCAACCAGTGGAATGTCCATTATTTCATGTCTGGACATGTCTTTCATGCAGGGATTTTTCCTTTCACGTTGTATCTACAATATTTCTGATATCAGGATGTAATAATTTTACTCTTCAGACAACATTTAGGTACAATATATTAAAGCACAATCCATGCTTTTCTCCTTCCATACATTTATTTCAGCTTTTAATACAGCTAGCGTACCATGCTAGTCCCTACAAAGGACACTTTTTTCAAACACACGATTGATTCAATGGTGCAACATTATATTTTGAGGACCTGGGATTGTTCCTGAAGATTAGTGGAAGGAACTCAAAACATTGGAATGAATTCTTTTTTTTTTTGTTCAACAAGTTCGCAAACAATGCAAAGCCCCATGGAACGACGATGAAACGCGGATGTTTAACCTACAAAAACTCAGTTTCCCTGTTCTTCTATTCTCTCCTTTTCAATCTCTTAACGAATGATCATAACCAGTAATGCTGAAAAATGATCACATGGTACATGAAGTCTGAACCACGTTTTGCGATAGTTTGACAGAAACACTCGTATGAATGTCCTGTTCTACATGTATATGTTACGCTTAATACAATCATTTCTTTTGTTATCTAATTTGCTTTGATATTAACGATTTATCAGCGGCTCTTTAAGTGGGAACAAAAATATGTTTTGTGAACACCACTGTTGGCAACAGTCAGTGCAAACTAATCATTTTAATTTAGAACTCTGATGATAGTTGTAATTTTTAGAATGAATGTTTAGAAAAGTTGGCTTCCCCAATTAACCAAGATGTGATTCAACTGGATAATAATCACCGTTTCCCGCAAATTTTTATTGGCTCTCCGGAAATTTGTTACTTAAAAATCATTTTTCCCGTCTTCCATTTAACCATTGTTATCATTTATCCGTAATTTAGGTCATTAGCCTAAGGGTAATAGCATTTTTATCTGCATTTATAAATCACCTCACCTACCCCTTACCTTGTTGTTTACGTCAACGAACAAGTTATCAGCGCGAAAACTTAATTGAAAAACCTCATTTTGAGATTGTTCTGATTTTGCTATTTAAATACTGCTTCTTTTAGATCTGAATATTTGAAAGAGACATGCTAAGAAATAGCTTCGTATTCGCCGACGACTGGGATTTGCCGCAGAGTGAATATTCTAGATTAATATCAAAACAAGCCTTTTTGTAATAATTATTGACTTAGTGTCTGGTCAATCCTCGAATCATCGAATCCTCGTAATATTCCATAACCTCTGAGTGTGTAGGTAAAAGTGAATGTAAGATTAAATCAAGAGGTTAGATTAGCCCGGCTCAACATCATATTTGTGCTTTTTTAGCTTTCTTGATGATCAGGATGAGTCTGTTGATTTTGGCACTTCTGACAGTTGTTCACTCGCTGAATGTCACCCAAATGCCGACGACGAGAGAAATACCGTCAACTTCACCAAGGGCAACTACTGGGTAAGACAGCTCCTTTAAGATTATTTTAACCTCAGTAAAAATTCTTAGCTAGTATTTTCATGATAAACCACACGAATCTAATCGTAGACGTTTTTATCCCATAACGAACAAAGCTTTATGGATTTGTTCGTGGCATATGCAATGATGAAAACTTTTTTTTCAGAAGGTCATCGAACCGAAGTTTCTCTTCATCGGCCTTTCTGATTTGAACGTGACCCTCGCGAGAAGGCTTTTTAAACGATAAATATTTTATTCTAAGAATGCGCAAGCTTTTAAGCTGTCATTTTATTGTCTCTTGGGAGTGTATTCTTTTATTTCATCTTTTTTTTTTTTTTTTTTTTTTTTTTTCATCAGATAGCGATGAGTAGGTCTTGGTGATTTATTGGTAAAAAACCTTTCGACCCATTTTTAATGACTCTTCATTCATTAGTGTGTTCTTGAACCTCCTTATCAGTCTGAAAAATCTCACATTCGAGACGTAAAAAATCCTGTGTCATTTGAATAAGACTGGGAATCACGAAATGGACTCGACCGATTTTCGATTTGATCCATGACAACATTTCAAATATTCATAATGTTTTCGAAGACTTTCGTATATTAGATAATAATTAGCAGATTTTCTTCTTTAGTCTTGAGACTATTAAGTCCACTAATAGTTTCCTTGTTTATGCTGTATGAAAACGTCGCCAACGAAACGAAATCTCAGTCAGCAAATCAACAACGCATCTCCAACTTTATCGGCTTAATTTCAAAAGGTAGAAATAGCAATTCTATTTTATTTTTGAAAGTCATTGTTCAGATCAGCATGCGACACCCTAGGATGTTTCGATATTATTAAGAAATGAGGTGCATATGGAGTATTTTTTTGCTAATGAACATTACTTTTAGAAGAAGAAGACAACATCGATTTCCAACCGAGAAAGTCTTCGCACGTTATGAAAGCAATTCTCCGCCGTTTTCCGCTCGTTAAATGAAGGGAATCGTAATGTTTAAATTGCTTTGGAAATGACTAAGCAAATCGTGACTTTTGCGGGCTTTTCATCGACGAAATATTAATTAGGAATTGATTGTAAATGTATGAATGATTTTCCGAAACTTGTCAGTCATATCAGATCGCTTTGTCTTTTTTCAAACCTCAAAAACGCGGCTGTTTCAAAGTAGCGCACCAGCAGCTGAAGATTGATTTTTCATGAATTGTTTCAGAACTGGGTGTATCATGACAAGTTTGAGATTGTTTAGAGAACTTCTATTGATCACAAGGTCCTCTTAAAATTATAGTGTCATCTTGCATTTAAGATCCTTTCAACTCGTCCCAAATCACACAGGTTCGTTCAACTTCTGTATTGCGGCGCACTTTACAATCAAGAAGAGAGTGTTTTCAGGGCTTCATACCAAGTACTCAATGCAAGTTAAAATGAGATAACTCACTATTGTAATCCTTACTCAAGCCTTTCTAGTAGAGCTCAGCCAGAACCCATTTGTTCGATGAACTGATTTTCCAAGTTTACATTTAAAGTACAATAAATTGGCCTTATGAGATAGACAAATAATATTCTCTGAAATGAACCACCATTTTCGATCCATGCATGCATGCATGAACCTTGGCCAAGCGAATTGTCTTCAATAAAAACTTTGATTATCTATCCAAAAATGTAATTCAGTATTTTGTTGCGTGCTTCAGACTGAAGATTTTTATTACCCAGACATCTTGCCGAAATCTTTGATGTGAGGGACACCTATGCTTCTATTTAATGCGGCTAAAATCTCGGTTGCAGTACAAACTCTGGTCTGTAGGTGCATTTCACCACTCTTTTTTTTATTATCATGATACTATCATGATACTATCAAATAAATCAGTTTGGGTAATTTCATTTCAGTTGCAAACCGAAATAACAATCGTTTTATTTAGTTCCAGCTTTACTCTTAGTAGTGAAGAGTTCACAAACGTTGATGAAGAAGACAACTCTTCGAGTGCAACCGACCCCATGAACAATCGCATAACAATTAATAGTGACGCATTCTTATGTTTGCTCAGGACTCCAACACCCTCATGGAAGGAAATCGCAAGAAACAAATCTCAGTTAGTAACACAACTATTGAGAGGATACGACAAGAGAATTCGACCTTATACTGGAGGTAATTTTTCAAAATTCCTAACATTTACAATTTTTTCGATTATTCTGTCATCTACATGATCATAGAAGCCACAGCCAAATTTCTAACGCCGCTAACCATAATATTAATTATTGTCTCGATCTTTTGTTTTTTTTCTTTCTATCCCAGTAATTATTTCTGAACAAACTTCCGTTTGACTAGAAAGAGTAATGTTGGGTGTAGACAAGCTTACAAGTTCAAAAAGTAGCAGAACAAGATGATATGTTTTGTTTTTCTTAATTCTTCATTTTCAAACTGCTCAGTTACATGTACAGAATATTTCTTTAGTCCTCTTTCCTCTTTTCTGCTTCATATAGTTGACTTGGAGTCTTTTTAGATCGTAAATGCGTTTATCCTCACTTGAGCGATTTGTCGCCTTTTTCATAGTCAGTGATCGATCAATAAATTTTAAAAATTAATTCTAACCACTAAATTGAATGACATGCTCTAAAAAAAAAAAAAAACTAAGAATTTACTAGAGAAAGGGCAAAATTTATTCGACTAATTAGATGCCCTTTATCACCTTGCAGATAGACATGTAACGTATGAAAGTAGATAAACAAAACACGCATAAAGAACCCGATGACAATAAACATAGGAAAATATGCATTTTTAAAAAATGGACTAGATCACGGAGGGTCGTGGGTTCAAATCCCATCTGGAAACTCGATTTTTAAAAATTGTTTATTTCATCTTTGCATGCTCAAAATATGCATTACAGGAAATTGTAATAATTCGGTGGTTCATCCCGGTAAAATGCGGAAACAAGTCCAACACTGCCTTACTGAGGTTGACACACGAAATTTATGAAAGTCCGGTGACTCTTGAAAACTTCAGAAATAGCACCTTTTAATTATGTTGACCAAACATTTCCCCATCTATCCCTTCACGACCGTCAATCAAAATGCACTTTAGATCTAGATACTCGAATTTAACCAAAAATGACAGTATTACCAACTTGTATGGGGAGGTAATAAAATCGGTAGGGTTAAATGGATAGTGTCAAACCCTGTGTATTAAACTAAAACTTCAGTTTGAAAAATAACTGGAAAAGAGACATGTTTTTGTGACTGATTAAGCTTGAGCTTTTTTTAACTTCTAATGAGCACTTTTCGTTAACCTCACCGAATCTAGAGTTGAGGTTCCGTGAGAATCCGCTGAGCTCTATTATTCAGACAAAATTAGGATTAGCCACTAATCGCATCGAAGTATGTCGGTCCCAGTTCCCGTAACGAATTCTAGAAAGTATGTTCATTGATAACAAGATAATAAGATTGTCAACTGCAATATGCATGAATACGAAGTCATTTTCGTTCGAGCTCACAGATAAATGTCCATTACTGAAGAGGATCGGAGAGCTATGATTGATTATGGGACTTTCAAAAATTTACTGCATATATTAGGGGAATGTTACGTAGTCGACGCACCTCTTACACTTTAATTTGTAGCTGCACAGGAATACTCGAATAGAAAAAAGATCCGAGTTCTCTCCCAAGAGTCGATCCTCAGTTTTGACCTGCTAATATTGCTAGCGTTTAAGCTTCTCAGTTTTATGCCCAGTGCTAGGATCGGGAGAAACATGGCCATTAGTCCAGGTTCATATGACAATCATCTTACATATGCTTTTCGCCAGGATTTAATTGTTGATGCAGTGCTTGTACCTACTGATCGATAAATGACTGGCAACTTTAAAATACCTTTGTTTCAAGCCCTCTGATTGAAAATGCACTAATACGGCGAAGGGTTTAACCTAAAGGTTGCTACGTACAGATTGCTGGTTGCAAGTCGCGGCTAATGAAACAGGGGCCTACGCGGAGGATTGAGAGAAATGCAAGTGATCTGTGCCCTAACAGAAGTCCAGCCTTTAACCTTTAAGCTTTTTGTTTGAATTCTTTAACATCAAGCTAAGGAGATTCGAAGTAGTTTTGCCCGTTAAAACAGATTCCTGTGACATACATTTTGTCATGTACTCGTTGAAAGGCGATTGAGGATTTTTCAGTTCTCTGGCAATAAAATAGAAGAAGCGATGACTACAATGAGTTGGACTGCAATACTGGTGGTATAAGGAGCAGGATGTTGACACGGATGTCTTCAACTGTTAGGTCTTCCCTGGTATATCCTACCTGAACAAGTACAGGAGATACAATGTGCAATCTGCCGACATGAGGTTGAGGATTTTTCAGTTCGCTTGCAATGATAGAGAAAGAATGATGACTACAAGAGGCCGTACTGTTATATTGGTACAAATGGGTTGAAATGGTTCGCCTTAACTAGAAGAACTACGAATGATCTCTAAAACGTTAGCTTGGAGGTTCATTTTTACACGTTATTTTCCTTATGGTCTTCAAAACTGCCCCTCGAAGTTCACCAAGACGCCAACAATACAGAATAGGATTGATGGCAGAGTTCAAGTGTACAATAGTATTAGCCAAGCGCCAGGGGCTTGACAAGCCTTTGAACGAAGTACTTGCAATAAACATTGATATTGTTATTGGAACATAACACAATATCATAGCAATGTAAAATACAAAGGTATTAAAAGCCTTTTTTATCATTCGTTTCTTGTCAAAGCAGGTTGTTTCAGGTGAGCTGTTTACGGCTTCCTGTTGAAGTTGGATTTGACCTTGATGCCGCCGAACTATGCAATATATTTGAATATAAGTTATTGTTGTAAAAGATAAACAAAGACAAGTGCCAGTAGCTTGAATAGTAAAATACACCGCCCAATTCTTAAAATAAACAGCTGAAAACAAGGTGTTGCATATCCAGATTGTTAATATAGACACAGATGTTATTTGTGCTTTTAGTATGGAACGAGTTTGATATCTCAATGAATACTTTAGAGCCATATATCGATCTATACTTATGGCCGTCATCGTACTGATAGAAACTCCACATAAAACAAACCTAGAATAGTTGTAAAGGCGTCTAAGTGAATAGACCGCAGTAATTTCTTTGGCAATGAAAACTGGTTGAACAAATAAACCAACGAGAAAGTCTGAGATAGCAAGACTGCAAAGCATGGCCATCGAAGTCGAGCGAAGGGAAGGTGTTAATATTACGGCTGCCAAGATCAACATGTTCCCTATGATCGACATGATCATCAAAGGAGCGTTAAGAACACAGTTAACAATGACTAAAAGTTCAGTTGTAGTATTTTCTGCAGCTTCTCTGTAACCATGCAGTGTCTCGTCAACTTTTGGGCTAGTATAGTTCGTCATATTCTCACAGAAATCAGTATCCTGTCCTCTGAACCTCTGTCCAAGATACAGGCAAATACAAAGCGAGGCCTTTCTTTCCCAACTTTGAATTTCTAGGAAATGCAAAGGTATCAAGGTATCAATAAGATAGTGCTTGTTGGCGAAGATTTACAATGAGCTCAGCGGAATTGAAATGGTCCTTTATGCTCTCTTTGCGACCCTAGAAGCAAATTTTCAACGTCATTTTTACGTAATCTAACTTCGTCAGATATAAGGTTGGTACGTATCCTGTTCATAATGAATAATGACAGGTAGCGATATTAGCCCAGCCTAATAGATGCGAAAAACCTATTGAGGCTACTTCTACTTCTACAATTATCTTTTTTCCTGTTGTAATCGTACTTAATGACAATATTTGCGACCACGCGAGTCCAGCGATCGATCTAAGCCCCTTGAATCGGTCACGCATCATTTCAGTGCGTAAACTAAAAAATGCTGATGAATCTTGATAAGTCATTTGGAAAAATGGTTAGTTTATGATGCTTATGTAGGCTTGCTTCCTTCCATTCAAGAGAATAATTGAGTGAAGATAATTACCAACGTATCTCCTCTCGGAATTATTCATTCTGGAGACAAATTACGAAATCACATGATGTTTTTACTTTGATGGCTTACGTCGATCACGGACTTGAACGGAAGCTGTGAACAATGACGTAGAAATATCCTTCTACAGATATACATGTACGTGTCATGGAAGCTTAGAATACAACTTCGATTTCGGCTCATTTAAGGCACATCTTTTTATACCCACAAGAGTGAGTTCATGCCTCATCCTAGAAAGGCTAGTGACCTGGGAAAATCAACTTAAACTTCCTTTACTCTGTTTAAAAAAGTCTATCGACGTCTGTCATAACCGTTCCAACCATTTTTCTGGACTTTAAAGGGATTCTTGACGTTAATTTGCACTCGTCTCATCTTTTAAAGTTCTTTCTTTTAAACTATTTTGACTATTTAAGAGAATATTCTGTTGCCGCTGCTATCATGATTGTATCATTCCTAAATAGCCGCTACTTAGATGTGAAGTATCCAGTTTGAATATCTAAAGTACCAGAAGGTTCTCTTTCGCGAATGAAAGCGTGAAATGAATGGTTGTATGGAATAAACTAGAGACTGAGTTTCATACTGCTGCCCTCGTGCAGTATTTCGATTTGAAAGAGAGTTTGAATTTATTTTCTTCATTAATCAAGCAATGGTACCCGTCTGCAAAGTGATACTTTACTTTCAGGTGGCGAGGGTCTGGTTTCAGCTTGGTTAGAAAAATGTTTAGAAGAAAAGGTGGAAAAAAATTATTTACTCTTAGATAAAATGCCAACGTATCATCCTACCAAACAACAGCGTCGGAAAATGTAATGAGACTTAAAAATTCTAAGGATTTTGAAATTTTCAGTAACTGCATTCGATAAGAAAATTTAGGTGCTAATGAGTTATATTTAGTGCCAAATGAGTAAACACGAAAACCATCTGCCATTAACAAAGGTGCTTATCCCTGGGAATTGACAGATGTTTTTTTTTTTTTTTTACTTATCACCTTATGTTTGAGGAAGAGCATTCAGCGATGAACTGTAAAGAATTCGAAAGATTTTCTACTTTTTAAAAGTAATTTATCGTCAATACGTATCATAAAAGCATTGTCGTAAATTTAGCCGCGTCTTAATGGATCACCCAGTAGATATTGTTAAGGGGAAACGAACGGGCTTTTAGCGATAATGGGAGCTCGAACTATATATCTATACCATTTTGGAGTTCCCACAGTGACATGCGTGAAGTGGAAGACGACTTCCGGATGATTTCCACTTCAAAGCCAAACCAGTAATTCATAAACTGCAATACATATCATATAACTGCTGACCTTCCCTTCTGTCAAAAAAGCAGTTTAACAACGAAACGATATTCTTATAAGTATTGACTGCGAAGCAAATCTCTTATTTCTAGTTCAACCAATGGATGTCCGTGTAGACATGTTAGTGTCCAACATTTGGGCGATAGAAGAAGCTAAAATGGTAAATACAATTTATCGTTTACATTCTGACTATAAAAAGGAGAAGAATTTTCGAGCTTCTTCCTTTCATTAAATTTAATCAGTTGGAAATCTGGAAACATTGATTCTAAAGATTCCATAGAAGAAAACAATTGGTAAATAATGCTGCGTTTTTTTTTAAATAGGATTTTACAATAGACATCTATCTTCGCCAGTATTGGGAAGATCCTCGACTTTCATTTCTTGGGAACGAAATTCAGAGAACGCTGACATTAAATAGACAAACGATAGATGAGATATGGGTTCCAAGTACATACTTCTTTAATGCCAAGAAAGCCTACTTCCACGATGTCACAACAGATAATTACCTTCTGCAAATTCAACCGGATGGAAATATCTTCTACAGCGTTAGGTGAGTAGAAACTTCTCTATGTTTGCAACTCTTATAAAAGGAAAGTCAGCAATCTTTAATTCCACCAATTAAACAAGAAATATGTCTCTGAACCCATGCAACTATTATCTCTGCCATTAGAAACGACTGAGGTAATCATGGTACCGAGCGAGGCTCGTGATTCCTAAAACTGAATTGAGCTTTCGAGAAACTTCTTCAAAGAAATATGCCAAAAAGAAATAGTCTTTAGGGACCGGCATTACTTTATAATTCTTTGAAATCGTGGTAAGCAGTGTGTTGAGGTTTGTCCTCAAAATTGCAAATTCTTTGACTGAATTTCCCAGAGAACACAGCTTGTTTTCATACATATACATGCAAAGATAAATACGTTAAGTCTCTTTTGAACCCCAGTAATAATTGTCTTACCAATAGATGGTGATTATTTTTTTTTCATCGACAGGCTAACAGTGACAATGGCTTGTAAACTTAATTTACAGATGTTTCCACATGACGTACAAACTTGCACAGTCATGCTTGAATCGTGTAAGTCAAAAATTTCCTTGTGGCTTTCTTGTACCCCCTTCAAACTGAAATCACTTCATGGTGACTCCTTTTATAAAAACATCTAAAGGCGTTACTGACGATCTTACATCCTAAGTAACGACGAATAAGGCTGATCAGTCTTAAGGGAGCTAAAAAAAACGAGTGAAAGACAAAACAGAACACAAAAAGTTCAAATCAACTTCTATAAATACAATAAGAAAGATGGTAAGCTTTGAGATCGGTAAAGAAATAGAGAAAGATGTTTTACGTATTATCACGACTATGGAACAAAGAAAAAATTCTGATTTCCCATGAGGAATCGAACCTCAGACCTTCGAATTCCCCGCTCAGATGCTCTATCACTGAGCCACAGGGAATTTATGCTGAGGAAACTCAAGTACGAGGTTCATATATGACACGCGTCCTGCATACTGCTAGGATCAGCAATGTGGATAGCAAATAGAATAAGAAGGATGGTAAGACAAAAAACATCTTTCTCTGTTTCTTTACCGAGCTCAAAATTTACCATTTCACTTATTCCACCATAGAGTCTCTGTGGCTCAGTGGTAGAGCATCGGAGCGCGGAATTCGAGGTACCAAGGTTCGATTCGTCATGGGGATTCAGATTTTTTTCTTTGTCCCATGGTCGTGACAAGACGAAAAACATCTTTCTCAACTTTCTTCTTTTGACACCAGTCACAGCCTCTGGCATGAATCAGATTAGGTTGGTTTGTCCTCATGGAAATGCGTTTGAAACAGTGAGATCTGATTGACGAAGATGGTTGACTGTGACTTTTTTCGAAAACAGATGGTTATCAAGCAACAGATGTGTTTTACAAGTGGAATTCAAGAAATTCAACGGGTGATGTTGTATACATCGCAGAGGACCTAGAGATGCCTCAGTTTATGATCACCAACGTAGAACTTGAAGAGAAAACGAATATCTACAACATTGGTACGTACGCAAATAACAATTAAGTCTTACACCAAATCTGGGAGCTGTGTCGATACTTTGAGTCGCAACATAATTTCAAAATCGGTTAAAAAATCCGTGCTTTATAAATTGAACAAATCGACGGTGGTTTAGCGTGGTCTGTACCATTATCGAAAACTATATCAGACATCACAGGGGTCAAAATGTTTCGGACTCGCGGAGCGCAGCCGAGTGACTCCGCAACAAATTTTGATCACTGCGATGACGAAAATCGTTGTCGATAAGAGTACAGACCACGCTAAACCACTGTTGATTTGTTTTGTACCACGATGTCGAAGTCAAAATTTCCGAGTCATTCATGCTTGAGAGCTGATAAAGGCATTGCTTGACATGTTGATGCGAGCAGCGTTGTCTGTCGGCGACGGCAAATTTGCCACTCAACTACGACATTATTTCCAATTGTGGTAAAAGATTTTATTTCTGAAGGCCACGCCCTCTCAGCGTGCTAAATTACATGTACAGAACGCAACTCCTTGTTCCTTCAGCTTCTCCTCACTCGCTTTGCTTCCTCTTTGATCAGACCTCACAAAATAAACGTTATTTTGTTTTTGTTTCTTTATTCAAGGGCCTCATTCGGCGCTTGTGGCAAAGTTCACTTTCCATCGTCGCCTCGGTTACTATATGATCCAAACGTACATCCCATCAATGTTAACCGTGACAATTTCTTGGTTCTCCTTTTGGATTTCGCCAGACTCCCCACCAGCTCGAGTAGGACTGGGTATTACAACAGTCCTTACGATGATCACGATTTCGAACAGTGCGCGTGCGCCACTTCCTAAGGTCTCCTACACTAAGGCCATTGACTGGTTTCTATTGATGTGCTTGGTATACGTGTTTGGTGCGCTAATGGAGTATGCTATCGTGAACTTTTACTCCTGTAAAGTTCAGTACAAAAAACAAAAGGAGACAAGAAAGGCGGAACAAGAGGTTGGTGGTGGTGTATTCCATTTGGATGAATCAAACATAGTTCAGCGTACGTGTTGGCGATATGATTGCTATAGGACAGGAATCTGCTTAGCAACATAAACGTTGGCTAATGGTTGACTCAGCACAATTAAAGTGCGTTTATTGTGCTTTAAAAACGTTTCCAGGTTTTAAAAGCTAGCAATGATTTCAATTAAAAACCTTGAAATAAGTGTGATTTTAAATGTACAATGAACTGAACGGTGGATTATGAAGCTAACCGTTAGAGGAACATGTACATTTTATCTCTACGTTGATAAGTTGATAAAGTTATTACAGGTATTTTTGCTTTTTATTTAGAGCAATTTACACATCCTGACCAAGGTTAGGATCAATTGGTTAGAGCGTTGGATTGTTGTGTGGGAGGTCGAGGGTTCGAGCTCCGGCCGGACCAACACTCAGGGTCTTAAAATAACTGAGGAGAATGTGCTACCTTTCTATAATATCGAGAAATGGATAGACATTCTAGTCTTCTCAGATAAGGACAAATAAACCTTAGGTCCGTCTCCTGCATCTTTAATTAGATAATTTGATTAGGCAGGGGACGTTAAAAAACGCTCATCACGAGATTATTGTGATGTGGTCTGGCTTGGTTACTGGGTATTGGGGGGAGGGGGCATCTCTAAAATATTCGCCTTTATTGATTGTAAACTGCCACTGGCAGTCTGGTAAAGTCACAGTATTCTAAAGCGCATTTGATAATATGCATATGTTAATTTGCGCTATCTAAATGTTCATCCAATGAAGTCGAGCTCTTTTTTCCTTTTTTTCTTTTAGTTCTTTGCACAGGAATCTGAAAAAGAAGAATCAGATGGGCTGTTTCAGAATGGCTCTATCAAGAAGAGTGACAGCAATGGAAGCTACCGAGTGGCTGTTGTCATGTAAGCTCATTCGCAAAATACAGACCATGTAGAGTTTAGTTGACTGTCGCTTGCTTTGTTCTGAAATTTTGCATTTCTTTTAGAGACAGCAAGAATCCGTTTTTTCCTCGAGCACATCTCAACAAAAAACATTCTAAATTCAGATTAGCTCGCCGATTTCGGCAAAAGGTAAGCACCGTACTTGTAACTGAAAAATATCAACGACAAGTTTCTTAATGTATTTGATAGTGGAAATTCCTATGCTAATTGTCAATAATTTAAATCGCTTTCGACAAAACTTTGTGGAAAGTTCGGGAAAGGCACTCAAAGAAACATTTAAAGGAGAATCATGTCTAGAAACCTTTGTACCCCATGGGGAGATGAAACAGTCTGAGAGCACGCTGGACTTGTTTTGTGCTCTCAGAAAAGGCAACTCGCACGATGCTTTTTCCCACGTACGTAAAAAGACAACTATGTGGCTTTCATTTTTATTTACGCTGACACAGGAAACAGACGAATTAAATGAAAGCAATTCTCAGCATCCCAAAAAACGTCATCACTACTTCTGGGACCCGTATGAAACAGCATTTATGACGTCAGAACCGGCGTACACCGTGGATAAATACGCTAGGATATCCTTTCCTGTCACCTTCGCTGTGTTGAACTCTATATACTGGATTGTTTACGCGCCGGATAAAGTCATCTTCTAATTATACGCCGTAACCGTGAGATGTGAAATCCTCGACATCGTCTCCTATGCCGCAATAACGCTTAACTAACGGCGCAAGGTAATGAAAGGGCTGGGGAAAAAAGGCGAAAAAGCAGAAAGAAATGTGAAGTGAACAGGGACAAACTCAGCGTACTTTATTCTCAATCAGAGATCCTGGAAGCAAAATCAGGAAATCCATGAACGCCATAGGAGCATTAGGATAATCAAGGAACATTGTAAAATCTAATCTTCTTCCCGCGTTCTGTCAAAGATCTTCGGTTCGCATTATGCATGTTTTCAGAATAAGCCGCAAATATGTGGGAAAAAATCATTGCCAAACGATAAATATCTGGAGACCAGAAAAATGGAATACTTAAATTCATATATATATAGAAAGTTTAAAAATTGCGAGGATGGACAACTTCTGACATAAAAAATTAAATATAAAAAATTTTAATAAAAACGTTTCGGTCAGAGACCTTCTTCAGTTACTTACAACTTTTGAAATAAAAAAAGGGCATTAAATAGGATCGAAGTGCTAATGATTACGTAATTACAGATAACGACTAATGAACTGGTGCTAATAAAAAGATAACAAAAAACCTAATTACAAAAAAAGCAATGGACAAAATACAAGAACAAACCCTAAAAACTAAGAGATAAGAATGCTAAATATGTTAATATGAGTGGCATAACCAATTGCAAAGAAGCAATGCGGCAAGCATTAAAAAAGGGAACGCCCACTTTTAACTACAACTGTAAACCGTAACAAAATCCCAAAACAAGGCCTTTGGAGCCCGAAAGGGCAAATTAGCAACAAAATCCCTGGAGGGGCCCTTAAATGATACTAATCATAATAATATCCCTTGGCAAAGCCTCTGAGTCCAATCCACCCCAAAAGGGCCGACAAAATCCAAGAAAAGGGCCTTTGAACGGTCAATTAGTAGCCCCTAATATAAGATGGAAAATTAATTATAGCAAATTCAATTTTTCGAATGAAATTCCTTTCTTTCATTCAAACCATGGGGTGCCAAAGAGAACAAGTGAGCACTCCAATAAGACTCTTTTGTGATTAAAAGCCCATCGATCTCTACAGAGCCACTAGGGGCCTGTACCTGATCAATGCATTGGAACGAAAAATCGTCCAGGGTGTGTGGGGTTTTGTTGAAGTGTATCGCTACTTGACAATTTGTTTTGTTTGTGAGCATAGAAGATTTGTGATTTCGAAATCTCACTTTAAAGTCGGTAGTAGTAGATCCCACGTATTGCAGACGACATTTCTTGCAGGAAGCCAAGTAAATCACATTTTTAGAGTCACAGGAAAGTCTAGAGTGAATGGTGTAATTTTTGCCTGTCTAAAAGCTTATTGGAGTGCTCAGTGGTTTTTACGTCAGAAGTTGTCCATCCTCGCAATTTTTAAACTTTCTACGTTCGTGTTTGCTGTGAGGTTTGGACTGCGATCCTTTATTGATCCTCCTGACGCGGTGCACCTTCGATGGCCTGAGAGTTCCACTAACGACTATATAAATATATACATAACTGCAGACAGTACTGTTTCGGCCTTCTGGGTCTCATCAGTGCAGTGCTGATGCTAGGATGGGGGAGAACCGATCTGGTTACTCCGAATGACCCCACATTTGTGGTATCGTCTAAGCCATGCCAGAGTGCTCAAACTAGGAAAGCCTAGTGAGCTATGCGCAATGCTAGCGGCGATGGTTGACCATATATATATATATGTATATATATATATATATATATATATACACATATATATATATGGTCGACCATCGTACTCGATGAAGTCCATCCTAACGTAGGTGTGTGCGCCTATGGGANGAATCTAAAAAACCTAATATAACAATTAACATTAAAATTTAAGTTTGTACAGTAAAATTCAAAGTCACTTAAATACAGGTATAAAATGGTGAAGCAATAGCTTAAATAATTTAAAATTAAGATTAAAAATTAAGTTTGTACAATGAAATTGAGTCACTTAAATACAAGTATAAAATGGAGAAGCAGCTAAAGTTTCAATGTTCTCAATAGCTTCTTAAAAAGGTTGATATTATTGGCCAGTTTTACACTTGTAGGTAATCCATTCTACAGCTGCGCACACATGTAAGTGAAAGATCTTTTCATAAAATTTAAATGAAATTTAGGTGAGTACAAATTAATGCCGGTGCCTCTCAGATTGTACATAGTTTCCCTAAAACTAAAAAAATCTCTGATATATTTGGGACCGTCGTTATGCAAACATTTATATAACAGAATAATGGATTGTTGTTTCCTTCTCTGGTCTAACGTTTCCATATTCAAGATTCGCAGCAATTCATCATAAAGAGTAGACTTGCGATAACCTAGCCGTGATCTAAGAATATAATAGTTGGTATCTTCTAGCCGATTCGTTTGCACTTTCCCCAGTCCAAGAAAGAGGGGGCAACAGTATTCAAAATGAGGGAGAATGAAAGTTTTATAGAACCTTAATATAACACTGCCAGGGACAAAACGCCAGATTCTCCTAAGTGCGCCACTTTTAGCGTATACCTTTTGAAGCTGTTTAGTAATGTGATCCTTGAAAGATAGCATGCTATCAAGTTCAACGCCAAATATTTTGATAGATGGCAGTGTCTCAATGACAGAGCGTTGTATGGCCAGGTCGTAACTGTACTTACAGGGACCAATGGGTACTGCTTGCGTCTTTGTGTTGTTGATCACCAGATGATTCTCTCGAAACCACGATGATAACCGCTCAAGACCATTATTCACTACAAATTCGAGAACCATGGGCGAGAAGTCTGAGGCATACAGAGTTGTGTCGTCGGCTTTGCAGTTCTAAAGTTTTATTTCATGGAAGGCTGTGTTTGAAATATTTCGTTCGGCTCAGTTTGATAAGTCTGCTGTGCGGAATAGCCACTTTTCAGTCATTTGAATAGGACGGATGAACAAAACAATTCTCAACTCAAGGCTATGGTTGATAAAAGTTTCCCTATCTCATTTTAAATTCTGCCACGCTGAATCTCATGAGTGATAAACACCTCTCGTAAATTAAAACTACTAGTACCTTCCTCAGGGATGCTGTTTTATCATCTTTTCTTTTTTTGCAGCAAAATGTGAAAAAGAAATGAAAAGACTAGAAACATAGTTTGAGAATAGGCAAAAAGATGATGATTATTTTTTCATCAAATCTATGTTTTAAGTGCCATAACTCAAGTTTAAAGCGAGACCCGAATACGTTGGCTATAATTGTCTAAGACCTGCATATACTAAAAAGCAAGGAAAATCCTTTAAAAGGGATTTATCTCAATAATCTCAATGTTATTCAACATGTACTTGTGATATCGCAAACTATTGGCGTAATAAATAAACTAATGCTAATGCTAATGCTAAACTAATGCTATGCCAAGAGAAGTTAATGGAGGGGGGGTGGGTTATTGAGGAACATGGAACCGTAACTCTTTATCAAATAACTGGATCTATACGCTTCCTTTTCTTTCCCTAATGATCTTCTTTTCTTTCCTTTTACGGTTCGTTTGGGAACCTACTACAACACCTATTAACATTTCACCGTTCCAACTTTCCATTTCTGCTCTTCTGTTTTATTTTTATTTTTTTTCAAAGGAAAAAAAGGGCTCGGGGGAGGGACGGGAGGTTGAGGTGCTTTTGCAGCCAACGAGGAAATCATTGCTCTCAAATAAACGATTAGATTATGAACTGGAGATTTATAACGCGTGAGAGTTAAGGGGGCGGGGCCGAAAAATGTCATGCATATGTCACGCATCGAGAGCGAATAATCTAATATAAATCTACTAGTCGTCAAAACTAAATAAAAGACAGGCTCATGTTTATGTTTACAACTGTTTCTTTCATCACGTTACCAATTCTCTATCACAGAATAGATAGCGAGGAGAGAAGCCAATCACATTGAAGCATTGGTGATACAGGGTTGATAAATTTACGTTTTTTTTACGCGTCTGTACATGTCATACCGACTTGAGATATTGGAACGGGCGTTAAGAAAACAACAGAACGATGTGATACACTGACAATGAAATTGGTTCCCGGTAAATCTTCCAAGATAATAATCAAGCAGATCACGACATTTTGTCGAACAACGTGCTTTGTTGAAAAGACAGGTAAACAGAGTAAATCAACACGTAAGTGACGTCATTTCCTGAAAATTCGACTCCATGCCCCTTTTGCACAAAATTGCCACTTTTTGTTGTTTGCATGTGAATATTCTTTTGGCATCAGTATTTTGGGAAAACTTTCTTCCAAAAACTAACCGCACAGCTGGTTTGTCCCGACCTTAAAACATTTTCTCACCACACACGGTTGGTTCGAATTCCTCCGAAATTCGCTGTTTCTAAAGTAGTAGATCAACGGGTTGATCGCTGATGAAGTAAAAGCGACTGCTTCAACCCAAAGAATTATAACAATATCAATTTTCCTTCCATTTCCCTTCCGTTCTTCTTTGATATTATGAAATTTAACCGAAAACAAAACTAAACTTGGCATCCATGTTATGATGCAAGCAACTAAAACAAAACCGACTGTTTTAATAGCTTTAAATTTTTCATAGCACGAATTCTCATATTTTCGCCGGAGTCGTGAAGATTTTGAGCTGCTGAAATGCTCCTGAACTGTTTTCTGGCTAATTTGAATCTGCATATATAAAAAAAAGAGACCACTGATAACGGAACAACAAACGCTGTACACGTAAAGGACATGAATAGTTCCCTTCGAGTTTTTTTTGGGAACAACATCGATAAAGGAAGAATCAGTGAGATAAACCACATCAAAATAATCACCGTATAGCATCTCCTTTTGCTTAAAATGTCCTGATACCGGAAAGGAAACCGAATCGCAATAAAACGGTCGATTGACACACAGCATGAGTTCAAAGCACTGGCAGCGATTGCGTAAATCCACAACATTAATGTGACAAGAAACAAAGTGCTGTAATCACAAAATGTTGGCTGAATCCAGCATCTGATGACAATCCAAAAAGGATCTATGATAAGGCCAACCAAACCGTCCGCCACGGATAACGAGGCTAAAAACCGGTTGGAAATTTCTCATAAAGACTCGTTTTTGTAGAACAGCCACAACGCGACTGCATTTCCAGTTACAGTGGCTAAACCAGATAAGGAGAGCCACAGTGATAGAACGATGGACGCTGCATTGCTGAGGTGTTTGGCGTCCGAGCAGTTACCTTTCATGTTAAGTTGGTGTAGAGAAACAGCGGAGGTCGAGAAATAAGTCTGAAAACCGTCTGAAGGCAATTGTTTGCCCTCGTTAGGGAACAGATGTTACTTGATATCAAACGATGTTTCTTCTTTCTTTTCATAGAGTTATTCAAAATTGACCTTTTCAATATGCTCTTTGTTGACAGGTACAACTGATCTATTTGCCGTCTGTTTGAGGAAAGTTGCGCGTGAATTAAGAATATTCCAGTTTTTTATGAAAACATGCTTTGAAACTGAATCAGTTTATATGTTATCCTCTTAAATTAATCAATTTAAAACAAGAGATCTCAATCTATTTGCCGAAACGTGGGGAAAAATCAGGAAACCTTTACCCTCAATTGACACCTGTGTAGGAGTGTAGGAGACTAATATAAAAAAAACTACAATATTTAAAAAACCCCTGTTTTGAGCAAATATAACAAGCTCGGGGGACACTTACTTGAATCTAACCAAACCAAATGTGAATGTGTAAACATTTTTGGCGGTGTGGCTATATTGTAGTGACGAATACGGAACACGAGTTCCTTCACGAGATATCTGTGAGGACAAAACATCCTTCTCTTTCATATGTTTCATGGTATTGTCATTTGGACACCTTGCTAGCTTCAACGAGAGCTCTAGACATTCTTAAAAAGCACTGAATAATTCGATTTAAAAAAGCCCTGAACTCATTAAAACAGATCACTTAATGTTTTATTCATCTCGATAATTTTATAGTCACATCTTGGACTAAAATCAGGCTATGCGGTAAAACTTTCGATGGTGATTTCTCCATCTAAGAAATCTCTAATAAAAATTTGACGCACTTAGAAGATTACTCCTCAGTATGTTCTTTTCAAGACAGATTGACCTAGACCTTATTGCTGTGAGATTTATTTCGAATTCTTGGCCCTATACGATATTTTCTCTTAACAGTCTTAGTAAAGTTTTGAAATAAAGGCCGCCTTTTAACATCAAATATAATTTTTCATACTTAAATGAATAGTAAGTTATGCTACAGTATATTGGTTTTCTCCGAAGACTAACGAGGACTAATTTCAGCTCTGAAAAAGCGGACAGAATGTAAAATCTGACATGAGAGGTAAAACCCCAAGAGGTCTTCTTGTCCGGTTTTACTTTTGATTGGTTAAGCTGCCTATTACTGATTCAAAACCATAAAGCTAGAGGCTCCTTGAGCAGCTCTGTAAATTCTTCATCCCCACATATGTAGGGAGGAAAAAGGACTTGAAATGTTCATGTTTTTACCCCTATTACACCTCAAATGTTTAAGGTCTGCAATTAGTTAATTTTTTTTAAAAAAGGAGTAGTAGTTGAGCTTAGCCTGTAATTGGTTTATCTTCTTTAAGCAGTCCTATCATTTAATATTTAGCCGCGCATAGACAAGTAAAATCCCACGACAAATTACAATAAACAACAGTCATACTGTACTGAGTGCACAGCATTACAGTATAGGATTTCAAACAACGCATTCACAAATTATTTCATATTTCTATGCGATGAAATCTCTATCGACTACTTTCATCTATTGCCGCCTTACATCGCTTCTCTTTCAAGATTGATCCTTCCCCTTTCTTGTTAGGTTGATCCTTTACTATGGACAAGCCAGTAAATGCAATTGAATGCAAAGAATGTGAGAGGGAACCCAATTCGCGAGCACCTGTCTATGGTGTGAGGGTTGCTAATGAAGTACCATTTTTCCCTTTCCGTTTTCTCAGGGAACGTTTTGCTTTCAACACCAAGAGAATCTGTTTCAGCTTGACTAAATACTCGCTTAAGGGCGTTTCCTCGTCGGGGAGAACACTTTGGAGTAAATAAAGACAAAAACTCTGTTCTTTCTTCCTGTTTCTAGAAAGAAAAATATCAACAAAATATCAGAATGGTGTGCACTCAACAAAAGTCACTACTTTATAGATAAATGTTAAAATACTTTGAAAATGCTGGTAAGAGAAATTTTTTTATTCAGAATTTATGACTAAAAAGCAGATATTATTTAAACTGTTCACGATCTTAACACAGATCAACGTATGGAATTGATTACAACTAGTCAACAGGCATCTTGAGTAACTCTAAATGGAACGTATCCTGTTTTTCCTTTAATTGTTAATTTGTAAATAAATCAAGGTAACCTGTTTCTTCTCCATATTATCTTACCGAGTTAATTTCAACCAATAATAGACATGAACTAAAAATGCTGAAAATATCCATCTTCCCACCTTTGAACCATCTCCCCATTCGCTATCCACTGACGGCTTCCTCTTGCTTTTATTCCTAACATTTATCATAAATGCTATAAAGGTGTATTCCAAAATGGACCCAAACACAAATATGAGACACAAAAGAAGGTACCAGTCGATAGCTTTCACGTAGCTCACTTTAGGTAGCGACGCACGAGCGCTGGAAATGAGTGTCGTCATCGTCAGGACAGTGGTGATTCCAAGAGCAACCCGCGCAGGCGCAGTATCGGGGTTAATCCAGAACGATATCCAACTGATGATAACAATAATGGTGGAAGGTACGTAGGTGTCAATTAAAAAGTAGCCGATTCGACGTTTCATCTTGAACATGGCAACCAACGAGGAATGGTTACCTGAGGAGACAGTAACAGCAAAATTGTTCGTCCTCCAGAAAGGTAATGGCAAGCAGTTTTACAGTGATTAAAGGGCTGTTCAGTACATAAAATTTACTTATTTAATGGAAATATTTAACTAGGGTGGCCTAGTTCAGCTGTAAGTTGGTTTGAATGAAGACCTATCTGGCAAGAGAGAGGCCCCATAGGAGGTAACTTACATATCCAACATTTAGTATAACTTCAGAGCTGAGCAAAGAGTTTCCAGCAATCTGATTGGCCGAGCGGTTCCTCTTATGACCCTATCTAAACCGCTCCTCGCGGTTTATATAAAATGTTAAAATAAAATGTTAATAAATGTTACTAAAATGTTATGATTTTAGAAATTTCTCTGTTGTTCAGCTCTGAAATTATACTAAAACAATTATTCGCCTCAGGTTCGGTCAATATTGTTGAATAATCCCCTCGGCTTCGTCTCGGGGATTATTCGACGATATTCACCTCGCCTTCGGTGAATAATTGTTAAATATAACACAATGTTCCTAACTCCACTCTCGGTAATTTTTTTAGGAAAAGCAGACGAAGTTTTCGGAGGTAACTGCGCCGGCATCCAACCTAATCAGAAGCTTTTGGTCGTTAGCTGTGGAAAGTAAGATAGGCTCTTGAGGCGACTTTCTTCGTTTAAACTGACTCTTTTAACACTCGTACACAAACGCAAGGAGACGGTGGAATTAAAAAGGGAAAAAAAGCAACGTGAATTTCCCACGTGTCATTTTCCCCTTCTTATAGTGGCAGCTCGTGTAACAACAAATTGGCCTTTTCAGAATTATAAGACTGCCCATGGATTAAAAAGCGATTAACAATGTAGCAATCCAGGGTAAAACATTTTTAAAGAGTATATCTGAATGAAATTTATCATATGGGAGGAAGGAAAACCACGAGCGATGTAGTAACCATCATCTCGATGCATTAATATATACCTATATTATATTTATTTATGACTGCTTCCTTCTCCACTTTAACCAACTCAAACTGCGGCAGCTCTACTTCATTGTTGACAAAGATGGCTGATGTGTTGTCATCTCTGGGGTTCCAAGCGTACCAAACGTCTGTCGTTTGGTATCCATCTAAAATGGGGAAGAAATTAAACATGATGAACAATAGAACACGAGTTCGAGTGAGGAAAACTAGATCATGAAGTCTAGAGCAGTCTTAATGTATTTTCCAATAAACAGCAAGCTTCCATGTCGTGTAACACAGCCACTTTTACCCGCGTTTTCCCTTTAAGCGCCTTAAACCTTTAACTCCCATGGGTGACCATGCCATAATTTCTCCTAACAATATCAATACCGGTACCATACCATGCTGGTGAACTATGAGAATAAAGAAAAAGATCAATCAGGGGAGTATTGGTTCATCCATTGTCAAATTCTCAGAACTAACGTCATATGAATTGAATGACAGATAGTGCGGAGAATTTCTGATGAGATCTTGGGATTGAAAGGACTAATGTCTATAACTCAATGGATGTTCAAACCCAAGCTTACTTTTAGCTTGTTTTAAGGAGTGATGCACGTGCGCATCGTGAGAAAAGGGATCACATGTGCAAATTCTATTCAGCATTTGTTTAATTTCACTTTTGTTACAGTGGTATAATACTTACAACTCTCCAATGCTAATGTACACAACTGTGTGTCATGCGGGAATCGACGCAGATCCAACGTACATGAGGCAGTTATTGTAAGTCTGTAAACACCGAAAAAACATATCAAATAGAGACAAGTGAATAAAGCTCTGACGAAGGGCTAACGTTCGAAATGTAAGCTTTTTAACTCTTCAGGTGGCCAACTTACAATTTCAACTTAGATGATAAAACCAAATAAAGACAAGCCTTACTTCTTTGGGGCTCTAAGTTGATAACTCCAAACTAATGAATAATTGCGATCTCAAAAAAATTGCTGATATGGGATTTTGAGTAGCCCGATTTTGGAAACAGGGCAATACTTTAAAATAACTCTCGACTCACCGAATGCTATAGAAGATGCTTCCATTTGGCCGGATCTGCAGCAGATAGTTCTCCGTTGTAACATCATGAAAGTAAGCTTTCTTAGTCTTTAAGAAGTAAGTGCTCGGTACCCATATCTGCTTATTAATATTACTGCTCAGGGTTAGCAGAGGGTCAGAGGTCAGATGGCCAAAAGCTAATCGCTCGTCTCTCCAATATTGACGCAAGTAGATGTCAATTGTAAACTCCTAGAATTATAACAACAACAGAAACATAATTGGAATTCCTAGATTTTATTTATTGAAGATGATACATATCGGACCGGATATATCGACGAACACAGAACGCGGAGAACCCAAGTGGCCTCTATCTATCGATAGTTTTTTTCACGAATGCAACCAAGAAAACTGCGTGGTGCCTGAAAAAATTACTTCCCGCAAACAAGATAGACTGAAAAATAACTGAGGGGTCAGTTTCTTGCATCAATAATCAGCGCAGAGCTGTAATGCCAATCATCGTATAGACAATGAAGAAAGGTTATAAATTGTAAAGACCTGAACTTTGTTTATTACTCTTAATAGTCCTCACCATCTTAACTTCTTCCATTGCCCAGATATTGGCCACGTACATGTCGACTCGCACTTCGACTGGGGAACCTAGCGCATTCACGATTAACCCATGGTTAATAAGGAAATTAATGTGTTAGTCACAAAATCACCTAAACAATCTATTAAAAAAAGATATTCCCCCTTTTTATTCACACACACTAAATCAGTACAGATTGGTTCAAGGTTTTGGATGAGAGTGGCCAAGTCGATGCAGTGTTTATAGACTTTTCAAAGGCCTTTGACCTTGTCTGTCATGACATTCTTTTAGCCAAGCTTTACAAATATGGTGTCCACGGGGACTTGCTCAACTGGTTTAAGCATTATTTGGCAGAACGTCAGCAGCGTGTAGTAGTCGAAGGAGAGGCTTCCGATTGGTTAACCGTAAGCTCTGGTGTCCCTCAGGGTTCTTTGTTGGGACCATTATTCTTCACAATATACATCAATGATTTACCGGGGGTAATTAGTAAGAACAGCTCAATTGCATTATCAGCTGATGATAGCAAAATGTATAGGGTTATTAATACTCAAGAAGATCTGTCCTCTTTTCAAAGTAACAGATAAAATATCAGATTGGTGTGAGATGAACAAGATGACAATTAATGCTAAGAAATGTAAGGTCATGCGAATAACCAGGAAAAAGACACCCTTAGTTGGGGAGTATAACATTGAGGGTAAACCTTTGGGATGTGTTTATGTTTATAAAGATTTAGGATTGTTTACTGCAAGTGGTCTCTCATGGAATTACCAGCATATAGATAGAGTACCTGCTAAGGCCAATAGGGTTTTAGGGTTGGTAAAAAGGACTTGTAGGGACTTAAATGATGTTGAAACCATGAGAACACTTTATTGTAGCTTGTGAGACCCTTAGTGGAATATTAATGTGAAACTTGGAACCCTTATACTAAACGTAACATTGACAAATTGGAGGCTGTTCAGTGATGAGCTACCAGATGGATCACTAGGTCTGATGATGATTATGGTACTAGACTACCTAAATTGAAATTGTTGCTATTATCTGATAGGAGGTTCATTAGGAATTTTACGTTTTTGTTCAATGTAATCAATGGCCATTATGACATAAACATTTCCAATAAGCTCATATTTTGTAAGGACAGAAACATGGCTTATAATTTGAGGAAAAATGACACACAGGACCTTGTCCCAAATTATAGCAGAACTAACGGTCTCAAATTTAGTTTTTTTAACCGTATCGTTGGTGAATGGAATAGCTTACCTAATCAGATTAGAGAATCAGATAGTTTTGAAACTTTTAAAAAGAATGTTTTAAGTTTTATTAAGGATAAGGATAATTAGGGCATCTATTTTTATATTTCTATATAGTTTTGCTATATTAATTTTTTTTTAGTTAGAGGAGGCATCCCTTGTATAGTGCGTCAGCGCTTTTGGTTGTCTCCTTCTCCACAATTTTTCCTTTTATGGTTTTTATTAACCTTAATTGTAATTAATACTAGTTGTTTGTGTATTCTTGTGGAGTGAATTTGTAATAAATAAATAAATAAATAAATAAACAGGAGATCACGATAGCCCGAGCGTCACCCTTAACGTTACAAGTTGTAAATATGGATGTAAACAAAGAAGCTTTGGGCTTTAATCCTCAGTTTATCCGGTTAAGCTTGCTGATAATTTGATCTTATTACCTTAAATCAGTAAATCAAACTTTGTTTCCTTTACCAGCAAAAAAGAGCACTGTATTGAGAGCAAAGTATTACTTTCTTTTACCCTGAAGATGACTAGGGAGGTTGACTTACCCTTCACTCCAGGTCTGATTCTTTTGTCGTAATGTTTCAAAAGAGTTTCCACAATCTTGGTTGAGTTTGCGTAAGCCTTGAACGGCCTGTTATCACTGAAAAAAGAACTAAAACAATATTGAAAGGACTAAATCAGCCTTGCTGCAAGTAATTCTTGGTTAATTTAGAGAATGGGTACGACAAGGTCAAGTGCAATTCTTACCCAGGACACAATGCATAACCTTTGGGTGAGTTTGTATTCCGGATTCTGTATGTAACTTACTATATAGCTTTTGAGTTGTGGCTCAGTAATAGAGCGTTGGATAACGAAATTAGAGGGTTTAGAGTTTGATTTCTCATGCAGAATCAGAATTTTTCTGCCCAACGCTCGCTACAAGACGAATGATTCCTCTACAGAGTTTAGATTTAGCAATTTTCTTCAGAAATCTTGAGGCTACTTCAGCAAAACGAGCAGGAAATGGAGATGGTCCTTCCACCAATCAAATATACGCATTTCTTGGCGTTTTGCGGTCTTTTCCCCCCAGAAAAAGAGAAGCCAAAGCAATACGTGCAAAACTAAACTTTAACGCCTCTTCACTCTAAAAGGAGTTTTTCTCAGTGTTTCATAGTTGAACACAAAAATATGTGTCATATTGTTCGCATTCAAGTGTAAATCGCCTCATTTACAAAATTTAAAAAAGTGCTTCTTGCGTGAACCAAGATATTACACTTTAATTCATCGGTTAGTAAAAACTAGAAATTTACTTTGAGCAACTCCTTCTTGAGCAGGAGACTTCATAGCGGTCATATCTTTCGTTCAAATAGAATGTTCGGTCAAACTAATTAAGTGAAAAGACGCAAAATACAACCTAACAACCCATCAATAAAATCTGTTGGAGGATCGCGACTACCTTAAGGCAATCAGGCTCCTTTTTGTCCTTTAATTGAAATATTTTTTCTTAATTCTCATGACTAGAAGAATGCCCGCTAATATATCCAACAACATGATGTGTAAGAGGCTACAAAAATTAAGATGAGAGACAAACTTTTTAAAACAGGGAGGAGATAAATTACCATTCAACGAGAAGGGTTCAGATTCTGAACCTAGAGTATGAAAACGGTGGGGAGAAAATCAGCCTTTGCATCTCTGAGATTGATTTCATTCGAAAAAAACTGACATTAAGCGAAGCTTCAAGATGTAAGCAATACCACTCATTATTATTCTGCCTGAGACAGTTAACGAGACTGACAACAATTGAATCCTTTTCTGTCTATTGGCAGCCATTTTTTTAAAACAAAAAGTTTTTTCTTTTTTCAACACAGACGGATTCTCAATTTGATGGCTATGTAGCAAAAAAATCAAACCTATTGCCAACAAGATTCTTGAGCAATACTTAAAAATGTTCAATCAAAGAAACTTTTTCCACGGAGCTTACAGTCAGCAGTAAAGACCTTGAGGCTGCCAAACTCAACCGTACTTTTGGGACCTTCCTAAGCTCTCTAGATGCGTTCTTCATAAATGTTAATATGTTAAACAACCCTCAGGCATAAAATTATGCCGTGTTAATTACGACATTGGTTCACCAGTCTGGCTTAAGTACATCAAAATAGGTAAAATGGAGTAGAAAATTTACACGATGAATCAGTTTTATTCTCGTTTCTTTGAAATGACAATGGATATGCTCTATCAATTTTTTCCAGCTTTCTGTCACAGAGGAAAAATTAAAAGAGAACTTCATTGCTTTAAATTCGACCATTTCAACCATAACGTAAGAGAACTTGGAAACATGATAAAGAAACGTGTTCACTTTATTATTCAAAGGCTTAGAGTAGCAGTCTAGTAAAGAGCTAACAGTTTGTTTCGTTATTGTGAAATCGATAACAACTTAAACGATAAGCAACGTATAATGACAAACTTAAGCAACAAAACAAGACTTACCTAGATATGTTAGCGGTGTGCTGTTCACTGGAGACTACAAGAGTGGCCCATACCATCAACACAGAATGAAATCCCTCATGTTTGTTTAACATCCTCCCAGGCTCGGCGCAAGTGATATCACTTCACTGCGCTAAAGGAAAAAAAGACGCAGAGCACAATAAAACACAGAGAAAATGTAACCAAAGTTTGATGGACAGATTATGTCCCCAACGTGACCAGCGGTCATATTTGGTAACTGTTGAAGTACAAGAAAGGAATTGCAGTGAGAGGAGTTCATTTCCCACGTGACGAGTTTGAAATACGGACATGTTTGATGTCGCGTCACGTGAATGAGGTTAATGATGTAAATGAGCTGTATATCAAACTCACTAACTTGCGAGTTGCCAATATGTAATTCTGTACTAGATCGCTTTTCGAACACAAAGACCTTTGTTACGGAAAGTTTATTGAATGCCTCACGTTAAATTTATTTAATACATTAATGAGAAAACAATACAATATAACGTAAAACAAACAAACAAACAAAATGAAAACAAAGGCAAAAAAGAAGTTTGTGGCAGGAAAGAACGCCTCTTTACTGAACCCCACTATATCATAAAGACTTACTGCAGATTCTGAAAATTTAACAGTTTTTAAAGGGACAGTGAGCGAAAGACCACAACATTAAGGACATTATAACAATGCTTTAATTTTTTGTGGAAAGAAATATACAGCAATCAAATAGCAAAGTTTTTGCGGCTTCCCTTCTCAGTTAAATGAATATATAAGCTAAGCGATTTTTATACTAAAAATTGGGCAGTGAATAAGTTTCGCGAAAACAAACTAGGATGGTGCAGAATAATCAACCATGCAGTTAATAAGACTGAAATAAAAATTGCAGTCAAGAAATATATGCGATCAAAATTTGTAAAATTCCCTTCCTACCTTCTGTTTTTTTTGAAAAGAGAAATGATGATCCGATCAACTATTTCTATTTCAAAGACGCAAAGTACTTTTACGTCCATTCAGGAGGAATGATAAATATTTCGAAACTCATATTTCTGTGCACATCCAACTTGGTAGAAACCTCTTCTACATAGACGAAAATACTTCTTAAAAAAATAAAATGTTTTTTGGGGTGTGTGTTTTTCTCCTTTTGATTGTCCGACAAAGAAAGCCAGAAACACAAAAAACAGTACATAGGAAGGCGGAAAAAAAGGGAATGGATAGTAAGCGAAGGATCAGAATTTGCAAAATTAAAATAGACAAATGTCTGTCCACATTGTTTCCACAAACATTTGTAATCTACACCAGGCTATTTCCAGGCATCAATCAAACTCAGCGCTAAGATCTATAACTGTAGAGGTAATAAACAACAACAATTTCTTACCGCGACTCAGTCGACTCTCAGGATAACCTTTGCCAAAAAATAAAAATGCATCAACTGGCCATCCCCCTCCATTCAATCGCTATTTGCATTGACAGAGTCCCGCGTAGAAGTTTGATTAGATCCAATGATCTCTGCAGGCGATAGACAATTTCTACCACGCGAACATAAAGTCGCCTACCAGTAAAAGAGTGTTTACCTTGATTTGCAAAACATTTGTGTTTGTGTCACGAATAGCCAAGCAACATTCCCACTAAAAACTAAAAATTTTGTTTTTTAATCTTTTTCTCGAAGAATTTTGGACCACGTATGCTAATCGCATAAAGGGAGAGTTAGAGCACAGTCGCTCACGATAGCATCAATAATGTATAGTCTGGAGTAGACTAGCGTCAAAGTGCCTTTCAATTTGATGTTCTAACAAAATTTCCCATTAAAGACAAGTGTGTGGTAGATAAACTCTTACTACCAGAGACTTCTAAAATGGACGATATGGTGCAATTTCAAAAGATCACGTAAATAACAAACTACCCCCTGAGACTCCCCGCTGGTATATGAGCCAAAGTCGTATTACTACTACTGTTTTCGCTATAGAATCCTCTTATATTTGAAAACAGTGGTAGGGACCATTATCACTACGAGCTTCTATTAGAATATGAGGAAATTTAGTCACTACATCAAAGACTTCCCACCAGCTTTTTTCTTCACTTCTAAAAACATCCAGTGGAGCAGGAGAACCTTAAATGAAGGCACGTTCGAAATATTAATTTTTTTCCATAGGGGTAATTTTTTAGGAAAAGTAATTTCGGAGCATTGTGCTAACGTTAATGAGATCTATATTGTTATGAAACAGGTACAGTTGCTATTGATTGCTCTAGTAGACTGCTCCTCAAATGGAACCTTAAAATCAATAATATTAAATTTCAAACCACACAGTATCTAACAACTATACAAGCATCTAAGGCATATTTTGTCACCCAACAAAGTTTTCTTTATTGCGCGCGTTGTTTCAGGCGAGAATGTGTTTTCTTAACTCGGAACAATTATCGATATTCGTGCGCTGAAAGCATTGTTTTTGCTCCAAGTCTTAGAACAACTTAGTCGTTTTACTCCAATGGTATAGGTTGCGCGGAAATTGGCACATGGCTTTTCCTACCTCAAGGATAACATTTCCTTTCGATGACTTTTCAATATCACCAGCCATTTTGATAAATGTATTATTTATATAAAATACGATTCCAAGTAAGAAGAACAGAACAATGAAGCTTTCTTTTAAATTTATTGCATGCAGTATTCGTGCGAAACAAGTTCATATCCTTTTGATCTTAGCGCCGCACTTGAAATGAAATTTTGAAATTCCTGATATATGAAGATGTCCATGTTAGTTAACGTATCTACAAACAATGGTTGCAAATGATTAGTGATACCGAAAAACCCAGACAAGAGGCGAGGGCTTGCTTTCGATTGATCGAAAACAAATTTATTTCGTTTTTGAGCATCAGATTATTCAGATTTAGGTTTCAACCTGATCAGAAAACGTCGGGAACTTTAGCATCGCAGCCGAGAATAACTATCATGAGCGAAAAAACTCCTTAGCATAATCGATCTTATCTTCATCACAGCTAAGAGGAAGATGGAAAAAAAAATTCTCAGGAGTCTTTGACTTGTGCTAAAACATAGCTTGCTTCATTTTTCCTCAAATCAGATGTGTTTTCAAAATCCAGTCTCCTTCGTGAAAATGTTCACAATTTTAACGATTGTTTCTGCAAGAAAATCATTATTTGGAGCAAATCAAAGCCAAAGTTGTTAGTGTCACTCAGTCTGGCTCCCTTGTTATTGTGTATATCAATAATTAAAGATAAAAATTAACCTTCAGCATTCCAAAAACAAAAAACCAAAGTAATTTTTACATCCTTTTACTTACAAAATATTCAAAATTTAAAACTTTGGTTAGAAAAGAGTGACTCCTTTATTCTTTCAAAAATAACAATTAATAAAATCTGTTGTACTGTTGTACTCCAAGCAATTTTTCATCATAGATCATTTTGCTACCTATGCCTATCAAAAAATCCTCGAGACATTGCACATTGTGATATGCGTTACGTGATACCCTACGGTGCTGCGGGCATAAAACATTAAGCTCGTGTATTTTCATTAAAGCGAAGTCAATTTGCATCGCCTAATACTGTACCTCAATCGAAAAGAAGAATCTTTGATGGTTTTGCACAGAAAATCAACCTCAACACCCTAAATATTTGTTAGAAAACGTACCAGAGAACTAATTCTTCAAAACTTTTACTAACCTTTAACCAATCAACCAGAATTCGAGGCAGGTTTTTTGGCCATATTCCATAAATCGGTACCAATGCAGTGTGTTTGAAGTGTAAACGTAATGCTTTTTTCTACCTGTGTTTCATTTGTGTTTTAATTAACCGCACACTGAACTCTCTGTTACTGAAGGATGAGCACTGTTTTTCGAACCACCGGGCACGATAGCATCGCAGTTCTCAAAGATAGATACGGTTTCGACATCTCTAATTATTTTGATTCACTAACGCGGGTGATTAAGTAACAGTCCTATCATCGTATTATGCAAATGACGTTAAGATTACACGGCTTCATAAAAGTCTGTTGAGAAATGTCTCAAAAGAATTACACTAAGAAAGCAAATTGCGACAGTTTTTCATGGTGTCTGCACTTTAATTAATTTTACTGTAGCTTTCAATGTCTCGTAGTAACCTACACGTAATACAGTAAAATATATAGAAACAAAGAAAAAGGACACTGACACTCAAGAGAGAGTAACGCCATCAGAACAGAAGCTGAATTTCGAGAAATAATTTTCGCAAATAAATCTAAAAATTCATGAGGCGATGTTGACAGTTTTCGCTAGTCCATTGCTAAGGGCTTTCCTGCATAATTAAGCTCAAAACAAACACGGCATTGAAGGTGTATTTTTAATAACTTTCATCTAAAGAGCTTTTTATCACAGGACCTTCGTAACTGTGTGAAAGGAAGCTGGTGGCGGCTAATTGAAGTATCTCAATACACATTGCAGCGACCAAGAATTTAACAATTACAAGACCAAATATTAAATTCAATTATAAAATTCCAAGTTACCTGTTATGGATTCTTGCAAACTCTCTTTTAAAATAACAATATAGTAGGCTTTCCATCTTTAAACATTTACTCGTAATAGAAAGATTAAAAATTCAGATTGCCAAATGTACTCTACGGAGATAGGATATCAGGTCTACGATTTTTCTCATTATTTTTTTCCTAATTACACGGCAAACTTTCAACAGTGATCGCAGTATTCTCTAATTGTTCTTTTGCATTCGAAACCAAAACAAACAGATGTAACACAGCTTTATTAAACGTATAAGTGCAAAACAACTTACGAAAACATTTTTGACTCTCAAGGGTGCGCAACCCATCCACATTATTAATAATTATTAATATGTTAAGCGCATTCACACGAAAAAAGGAATTGACCATCTTATACGTTCTTCCAAAACAATCTCCCTACTTTTTAGAATAAATCTGTCATATCATTTTATCTACAAGTGTAAGTTCTTCATATTCTTCCATTTATTGTGCCGAAGGAAATTTGTCCCAGACGACTTCATATACTGCTTTTAGCAATATCAATTTACAGCAAGACTAATTCAATTTACGTTTCAAATTGTATAACCGAGACTGCAAAGTCTAAAGGTGTATTCAATTCATACTATAAAACAAGGAACGTATACGTAATGGAACAGAAGGCACTGCTTTTGATTTTTTCTCCATTTTTCTTTCCGTCTTTTTTCATTTATCGTTACTCCTTTAAAGTGCTTTCTTACTGGCAAGCCTTGTACTTTTCCATGAAAAATAGGTTTGATTGAACAACTGACCGACGGGAATCAACTCTTGTACCCACCTGGTAACTTACATTGTTATTTACATATTTATTGGGATGAAGTTGAATGCAAACTCTATGAAGTATATTTGTTTTTAACTATTTGATTTCGAGTTAGCTTTTTAATATTTTTTATTTCATTGGTTACCATTATGTTTGATGAACAGAGGTTTTCGTGAAATTAGAGAGAAATGATGATAGCACGGTTGGACTCTCCTTCATTTTTTAAATGCACATCATCATCAAAACTAGACATTTCAGTGTCGCCACAGGACAGAAAACTATCCTTTACCTTGGAATCGCAAGGATACGTTAGTTAAACAAAACGAATTTAATGTTGAAAAAGACGATGTCACAAACCGTGACTAGGCTCTTTTGCCAGCAATACAGAGGCGTTTCTGCAATTCCATGCACGCTCTCACCAACTCTACGCTGTTTTTTTTCCCAATACCTTATCTGAATTTTTATTTTGCTTTATCCCCGGACCTAAGCAATGCTTAGGGTTTAACCAAAGCATTGGGCCAAATAGTAATTGGTTGATACTGAATACGCAAATACGCAAAGCACTTAAGACCAGGCTGGTTAATCTTCAGAATGTCCTCAAGCTTTTCTTTTCTTTTCTTTACTCTCAAGACTAAGTCAAATGTTGACTTCCGATGCTAAATTTGCTTTTATTTTTGAAAGTTGATTTCATCCCTCCTTTGTATTATCTTTGTGCCACTTTTTTACTGCTGTTCTAACAGTTGTTGTGGTTAACTTAATTTGGTGTGACGAAGATAATTAAATGGATCGATAATTCAACGATGTTGCAAAAAGAATAAAATATATAGAATCGAGAAGTGTTGAAAAAAGGCTTCCCGATATGAACTTGAATTTGCTACCCCAGGTGAAAAACAGTCGTACCCATAATAACTGAAGAACGCATATGAAATAGGTAAATAGCCACGGTTGCATATTATGCCAGAAAACGAAACATCCAATATCATTGACATAAATTTACTGTTTGGATTCAGTTAGAGTCGACGAGCCTTAAAGTCCATTACGGAACCTACTGAGTGACAACACGTAAACCACGATCAGATTAGAAACTATTTTTTTTTAAAAAATATCTGAATCGAAGACTGTCTGATGATATTCATTATACATACAAATCAGCATAGGGAACATTCTTATGTGCAACCCGTGTCATCTCTAAAAAAAATTTATAGCAGGAAAAATTCCTTAAAAATAATCACCCCGATTCTGGTGGCTTTTGGTATTTCATAGCTAAGCAAGCACAGTCTCGGGAGAAAACATTGATGAACGATACGAGTTTTCCATTAACCCAGCTGAACAGCAAGAAATTAAAAGAAAATAAATCTGCAAAACAGAAGCTTGGCTCGACGTCTTTCATTACACGCACTTAAGTCGTATTTACCCCTATTGCAACTTAACTAATAGCGCTAAAAGATATCTTTTGTGGATGTTATTTACATCATTGTAATCATTGGAGAAGTTTCAAAGATCTGAACTATTTGAAAGTTAATTTTCTTACCAACTTAAAAAAAGGGAGCAAATATTCTCCACTATTTTTCGGTCTTTAGTACCTTTGCAATATTTTCCCTTAGCGTCATCGATAAAACGTAAAGAATTTAATATGAGCTATATTTACCTTTTCCTTTGTGCTATGGTTGTGCTATGGTTTTAATCCTAAATTAGAATTTTTGATGATTTCATATTGCCAGCTGAGAAGGAAATCTACAGTTCAAGTACTACAGAACTCTCTCTTAAATGTTTCTTTAGTTCCCTTTGCATGACCAATTGCATCCGTCATATAGGTATCTGAGCTTTCAAATATCTTGGGTCAGTTTTTCCTGAATTATAATATTCTTTTAAAAATAAGCTACAAGGAACATTGAAAATGTAATATGACAGATTAATTCCAAATTATAAAGCGTTGGTGTTTCGCCGACGAAATTGCTTCGGGCAATAAATTTCAGTTTGTGCAATTTTCAGCAGGTTTTGATGCATACATCAAATCGATAACACAGTTCAAGGACAAACAATAATGTTAATCTAAGAGATAATATGATGCAACCATGACAACAAGGCTCTATTTTATTCGAAAATCTAAGATTACGGCCATAATTTATCGTTATGGTAAATTACGGCAAAGTTAGTAGTTTTATGACCAAAAAATACCAGAGAGGATAAAAGATTATAAAAATTTACGTACAACTATCATCCATGGAAGGCCTTGCGAAAGTAATTAAAATCATCCATGAATAGTCTTGCGAAAATAATTAAAATAAAATAATAATTTTATGCTTGCTTTTTCTTAGAGAAAAATACTGCGAATAACCAACTTTTTTAAAGGTTAAATTCTCAAAATGAATCAGTACCTTTCGACGCAACCCGAATCGAATGAAATTTTCAGAGCACGTCGCCGTCATCTGATGTTAATACAATGTAGCAAAGGAGACACTGAAACTCTCAATAACGAAGAGAATTGTTAAAGTAAGAGCACTCTTCTTTCTTCTATCAGAGAAAGGCATTAGTGGGAACAAGATGAAGGCCATTTTAACCTTTTCTCTTCTTTCAGACCTGCCTGCTCCCTAATCAAGCTCATTACGTAATTCATATGAGTCATTTCGCGAAACTTCCCTTTTTCCTTAAGTCTCTCTTTTTCTCTCCTAATCAAAGTTGAGATAACAATTTAACGCTAACTTACATGCTTCCATCAGATTCAAAATCAACTAAGTAGTCACACCCATTGTGATGCTTCCATCTCATTTACAATCGATTTAATCGTCACTCAATTTGTAAAGGAAACGGACTTAATAAAACACTTAGCCTAATCATCGAAAACATCTTCAGCAATGGTGAAGTCTGTTTACGAGTGGCCCATCAGCCCGGTGCTTAACTCCGGTATGTGTAGCATGAGGCGACTAGGAGTATTTCTACTCCCCCCTGGATGGGATGCTAGTCCATCGCAGGGTTACCCCTCAGCATTAAATTTGCTGGTACCCATTTATACACCTGGGTGAAGAAAGGTACTGTGAGATTAAAGTGTCATGCCTTAGAACACAACGCAATATCCCCGGCCGGGGCTCGAACCCGGACCACTCGATCCGGAGTCGAGCGCACCAACCATGAGGCCACCGCGCCTCCACGCATTTTGATGCTTCCATCTCATTTACAATCGATTTAATCGCCACTCAAATTTGTAAAGGAAACGGACTGAATGAAACACTTAGCCTAAACATTAAAACATCTCCAGCAATGGTCGGATTTAAATACTTTTCAAACAGCAAGCTATTTAAGGAGAACTGAGCTTGACGCTTCATATCACGATTACGTAATGAGTAAGGGACAGAAATGTGTACGAGTTAAACCATTTGACCGAGAATTCATTTCCTGTAGTTCGATTCTCGTGCAATAGCAAAACTAAGAAAACATTCAATCTGTGAGCCTATGTGCACGAGCCTGGGTCGATTTGTACCCAGGTCGAATCACCGCAAAGAGTACTAAAAATATAAATTTCACACAGACCTGAATTTCCAGACTGTAGTCAAGGATGTGGCTTGCTTCGAGACCGGCACAGGCCTACTTTTCTATAGACTAAATAAAACACAGTGAACATGGGCAATAGATATGACATGAGAAAGGAAAACAATGCAAAGTCGAGTAGGTCGAAAAAGTAGTAAATCAAAAAGTTAATATCAAACCTGTTTATCTGAGTACAAACGGCCGGGTTGGCCTTTGGGACAGTTTTTGCATGAGAGCATTTCAACAAACCTCCACCCTTCCTGCCGCGTCATCCAGGGTCTCTACAAGGGTTACCCGGCAATGACGGCTGACTCGGCTCAACAATTGTTTTTTTACGAAAGCGCTTCTAAACATTTGATTGCTAAAGAATTACTCTTAAAGCTGATTCCACTCGGCTTAAGTAGTAACCCGAGGTCGTGTAAAGAGATTCTGAAGTAAGTCTCCTTTCTCCGTGTATTGTTATCGTCATCAGCCATCAAAAATGTGTTTGATCCCACGAACCTTGCATTTTACGAGACGATCGATCATAATCATTTAGTAAATTCAGAGCAAAATACTTTTTAATTGAGAAAAAAAAAATTGCTGACGATCGAGCCAAGTGGTAATGTAAAACAAAATCTCAGGATTCTCTCAGTTTCAGGTTAAAAATTAAAATTGATATGGACTAGGAGGTTTTTAAATAAATAATAAGAAATAAACGGGAATAATTTTCACGCGAAATCAAGGAGCAAAATTACATACGATTTCTAGTTATGAAATTCTACACGTACACTAAATAAAAATATTACACACACTTAACCGCAGGGAACTGCACAGTTTAACATATTTAGTATGATTAAAATGTAGAACAAGTGATATTTCTGTCCTGGACTAGATTTGCGATTGTTACCCATGATTTCGTATTTGGGGAAGCCGAATATTTCGCGGGTGTCCCTTCTAGCTATTTGCAACATAAGGAATTGCAAAATAATTTACGTTTTCCTTGTGTAAACTACTTTTGATAGCGGTGTTGCCGGTGTCTAATACGTTAGTGGAGGGTTTATTCTATTGCATAATTCTGCTCATCATGATTTGCATACCTTGTGCATGAGGTTTGCGGGATTCCGTACTGTGACAGGAGTACACAAACTTCTGCCGAAAGAAAACAAGCCGGTTCATTAGAGAAACGTCATCAAAGAGAAAAGAAAGAGAAAAAATTCAGACAAGTAAGCAAAGTAATAACATTTTCCTCATTTTTGAAACTATGTTGTTGTAAAGCAATTGCTACGAATCAAATGTGTTCATTTTTTCATTAAATCGTTAATCGGCAGCCTCTGGCGTTTTGTATTTACACTCGGTGAAGTTGGATACGAGGATGGATTTGTACATGCAAACTACCCTTAAGCTAACACACTACGTTGAGAATAAGGTAAAATAAAAGTATCTCTGAATTGTTATCTTCAGATAAACCCAAACAACTTACCATTTGAATATTAAATCCACAAGGCGCAAGTGACAAAAAAGAAAAGCGACGCGAAAGTAAACCCGGGTTGTAAATGACTTCCTGATGTAACAGTTTATATCCTTGTTAGCAAGATTCTCGGGCTTACCCGCGGTCTGAGTTGAGGTATGAAGAAAAACCGTGACAGAGCTTTTCCTTTGTCTTCCTACGAAGACGTCGCTGTAGCTTCGGTAGCATTACTCTATTCCGAATAAAGCGAGAAAATCCGCACGTCGCACCGAATCCGTGAAATCCAAATCCTTCAGAGCAGTAGAATAAACTGTTCTTCAAAGATACTAAAGGTACATTTAGCAACACGAGATCAAAATTGCAATGACATACACAGGTCTTTTTGTTTTTAATTATTTGACCCGTATTTCGAGAAATATTACATTTAACATTAATGTCCAGCGGGGAGTAAAATGGTTGACTGTCACCGACTTGCTGACTGAAAGTGGATATGTACGGCAGGTGCAAAAGGTGAACTTCATGAAATCTTTACTCGAATTCACCTGAAGCCAAAATATTCAGTGCGAACGCTTCCATCAGTTTCAAAACGCGAGTTACAATGTTTTTGGCGCGAACTACCGGTTGCTTGCCTCAATAACTCTCAAGCAAACGAAGAAGAAATATTTTGCGGTCCAAGTAGCGGTTGATCATACTGTGAAAGATAACAAAAAACGGTTAGGGAAAAGGGCTTCTTCAATTTCTTTTTCTGCGACGTCTTTCGTAAGATCAAATTGGCCAATCAGCACCTGATTGGATGCCGAGTTGAACTTGATCGTCACTAAGAAACGGCCGGAGGGGATTCTGGATCACTAGCTTAAAGAACGACGTGTACCAAGGTTTCATTTTGTCCCCAGACGGTATGACGTCTGATCCTGTACAAAAAGCCTCTCAATAGTATCCAAGTCCTATCTAGTAACTCCGAAGATCTGCTGAGATCACTGGCTCTTCATCTCTCGCCTGCTTAAGAAAAAAAAGAAAAACTTAAAAAATATCTATCTTCAACAACTATTCATTCTACTATAGATTATTTCATGGCTTGTCAACGCGTTCTTTATTCTATCTGTTGTCTACATTTATCTGTCTTGCATTGCTTGTGAGAGAAGCTAAGCTTACAAACTGTAATTGTTCTTATTAGGTATCCTTATCATTTGTATAGATATTTTTGTTTTCTTTACCAACTGCTATAAATTGAAGTAATATTACAAACACCAAACTTGCACAAATTTCACTGATGTAAACACATTTTATGCAGTCTGTCGCTTCGCGAAAGCAATCTAGACCAATTCAAAAGCATTTGGTAAAGTCTGAATGACGAGATTTAAGGATGAGAGTAAACGCTGTCCCAAAACATCACTTCATAAGGTTACAGTAGACGAACTGCACGTTTGACATCACTGTAATGAACTTCCTTGAACGTGCCTTTATCGGTCTCTGCATTATAAGCCTCGATCACCTGTACAGCCCCGTCGTCTAGATCCCCACTATCAAAGAATCGAAGGAACTCCAAGTCTTCTTCTTTCATTTGGTAGTTCGTTTTCAGAGCATCTGCGAGACGCGAACACGTCCGTCCAAACGCGGGGAAATTCACTGCTATAGCTGCTGGGATCTGAGGAGCTTCTCCATAAAGAGCAAGACGACACAGGTACGACGGATAAGCTTGCGCTTCGGCCCGAGGCTCGTAACTTTCCAGATGTGAATCCGAAAGCTTAAAAGCTTTTGCCATGCTGAGCAGCTTGCCGATAGCTATCTTCTCGCCCGTCAAAAAGTACTGGAAATACTCTCGGATGATCTCGTTGGTGTTGAACCTGGCTACTAGGTGCTCCATGCTTCGAGTATCAGAGGCTATTATGTGATACTGTTCGCAGAGAAGTCGTTCCACAACTGCGAGAGGGAGTGTTCCAGTGCTTGCTTCCTGGACGACAGCATGGCAGGCTAGCTTTTTATCAGTATCGACTGAGAATGACTCGTTTCTTAAAGAGGCTAGAATTCCTTGGGCAGATTTCCTGGCTGCCATTGATGGCGAAATGGAATACGATTTGCACTCTTATGCCCTACGACTGAAAGTCTCCCACAAAAAAAAAACAAAATCGAACTTTCAATTCCGCACTCACTTGAATCTACCCGTCAAATTGGCTCATCTCTTGACAATGATACATCGAGTTTATGGCTTCCTCCAAAGCTAGATATTTTCCTAGCACGGTAAGTTGGGGGCTGGAAAATTACTATTTGATATCACAAGTCTGAACATTGTAAAGCTAATGTTTTTTTCGGTGGAGCAGTCACCTTTTAAAAACGAGAAAACAACTATTGAATATGAAGCGTGGCGTTACAGTCACAATTTAGAGTCACATTCAAATCACATATCCACAGTCACGCATAAGGAGTCTAGTTACCATGGGATTAGAATAAGGGTCGTTTTAAAAAATTATCTCTATTGAATTCATCATGTAAAGCATTTAAAATCTTGTTTTTGGAGATACAGCATTTTGAGCGATTTGTATCCAAAAGCCAAGTGTACTTAAGATTCGCTCCGACGAAGGGCTAACGCTCGAAACGTCAGCTTTTGTAATCGTTACGGTGTACTTAAGATTCTTAGTGCGTGTGTCGTAGTGCGTGACACAACTTTCCTGAATGAGCTTAGCATAATCATATATAATTATAATACACCTTGGTGATTTATCAGTAGTCACAAATGAATTCAATAAGGACCGCTTTTAATACTCGAACTTTGAGAAAATGCAAAGTGGGAAAAGTAAGGAAACTAAAAACGGCTACACGGCCAAAAATCAGGCGAAAAAATAAAACCTACACGATGCGTGAGAACAAACTCTACATCCAGATAGGTTTCTTTTAGTTCAAAACAAACAGATTTTTGGATTGAAAATGCCACCGTTCTCCCTCACACAACCCTTACGTTTCACCTATTGAACAACATAAACATTATTTACGCATTTACAGAGGCTTATTATGCGAGCTTTCGCTACCCCTGCGACTGATGAGATCTTTTGGATTTATTATATTGGCGACACCTGAGCGCCGAAATTTCGCAAGTTCCGAGTCAAATCAATCGTTAAGAACAAGTGATTTTTAGCTTGGTGCTCCCTAACGAAATTACGAACGAAGCAGAGACTATAAATAGATATTAGTATGATCAATGGATAGAAATTAGCAGGTAAAATTACGTTAACTTTACTTTCGTTACTTGGGAGGCATATGCAAGATCAGTCCACGGTGCGGTCATGTAGAGTCAGCGGTAAAACAATAAATCTATTTAGATTCATATATTTTATATGACGAATACTTACCGCCTAACAAACAAAACGTTCAGTCGAACCTGTATTAAGCGACACTGTATTTAGCGGCTAACCTGTATTCAGCGGCCAGTTGTCGAAGTTCCGAATTCATTTTCCATTAAACACTAATTTTCACCTTAATTAAGAGGTCACTTCTATTTCACCCTTTACATGACCTTAACGCCCTGTTGGTAGTGTCTTCCACCTGTATTGAGGGGTCATTCAACGCAGAACCACTCAAATAAAACTAAGTACAAGCTTTTAAGCATGTTTAATCCACGTTCATCTCCCAAAATCAATGCTTAGTTGTATCAGAGTTAATAGTTGTATCTATTAACTCTGGTTGTATTTTAATTATTGTAACGTTAAGTGGTCAATTGTGGGGGTGCGGTGGCCTCATGTCGGTGCGCTCGACTCCGGATCGAGTGGTCCGGGTTCGAGCCCCGGCCGGGACATTGTGTTGTGTTCCTAGGCAAGACACTTTACTCTCACAGTGCCTCTCTTCACCCAGGTGTATAAATAGGTACCGGCAATTTAATGCTGGGGGTAACCCTGCGATGGACTGGCGTCCCATCCAGGGGGAGTAGAAATACTCCTAGTCGCTTCATACTACAGAAACCGGAGTTAAGCACCGGCCTAATGGGCCACTAGGCTCATAAACAGACTCTACCTTTACCTAAGTGGTTAATTATGGCATAAAATGGCGCTTCTTTATTGTCTTTTACAACACCTCTTTTCTACAAGACCTTTATTAAGTGGTCAACCTATATCTAGCACTCACCTCGCCATTCTATGTGGGTGACTGTTTAATACAAGTTCGACTGAATAAAAATCCAAAAGGTTATCCGCTCACCTTACCACTCTTCATATCCAATTACAGGCGCGTACAACGCAAATTATTCGTAATAGCGAAGAAACTGTGAAATGTTAAGCAGGCAACCGTGGACGATAATCCTACTCTTGTACGTTGGATCAGCAGTGATCTAATCGCCCAAAATAACGAAAATAAATATAGAGGCAAGACCGATACCACGTAGATAAGTTTTAAAACGGAGCACTATATTTCGGCTGGCCAAACCAGACTTCTTCAGGTGCAGTGGGACTTGACATAGAATTAAGGTGGTACTTAGAAATTAGTTGTACGTATTTCCGCTATTACATCATACAGCTATCTAAGTACCACCTTAATTCTATGTCAGTTCCCATTGCACCTGAAGAAGGCTGGTTTGGCCAGCCGAAATATAGTGCTCCGTTTTAAAACTTATCTACGTTGTATCGGTCTTGCCTTTATATTTATACACTTAATAGCCCATTTCCGAATTGCCTTTAGCCTCTTTTTCAAAGCGAGTCCTGGTGCTTATCCTTTGGTATGGTAATAAGTTTTCATTCACATGCAAATTAAACTCATTTTCATACGTTTGGTTGAGCACCAGGCCTCGTTTTGAAAAAGAGGCCAAAAGTAATTCGGAAATGGCCTATTAGGACAAAGGGATAGGGCAAAGAAAATTGTTTTCATTTCCCGAAATTTTCCTCTCTATTGAGGGAAAAATGATTTTTAAGTTAACAACCAAATGGGTCGGACCAGTTATTAATTTTATTGAATTACGGAAAACAAGGTCAATACATTAAGAGAGTGTTCGACGATTTTATTGGCGTTGTAAAGCAAAAGCTTTATTTTAAGACGAACGAGGTACGATCGGTTCAAACTGTGGGTAACCACTAGAAAGGTTCTAGAGTCATAGGTTTTTGTCAAAAATAATCTCCGATGTGTTGAACAAATTTGCTGATGAATTCTCTTATTCAAACAGTTTTTTGTTTCCTTTACGTTAGCCTTAAAGAACGATCCATTTCTCCATATACTTTATTGGCAGCATGGCGGAAGGATGAGTTCACCAGCAAATTTGACAAAAGATCGACAGCCTGAAAGAGAGAATGGAAACGTAAAGCTGATTTCTTACGTTTTTGTCTGGTCATTTGTCTGGATGTTTTGAGATTGCTATATTCATTAACTCTCTATTTAGTGCTCGAGAGTGAAGTATTTTCTTATTTGTCACGATTTAACTTAGTCAGTGCACCGTTCGATGCATGGCTTTTCTTGGCCCTACTTGGGCCAACTTGATGGGCATTAATACGGGGATTTTACAGCAACTATCTCAATAATAGCAGCCTGCAGGCCGGGCGTATGGGTAATAGTTGAGTAAGTATTGTTCTATATGATTATCTAGCTGTCATTTCTCCTCCCTCTCTCACAACCCTGCAACAATGAAACTTTTGTGGGATATTTGCTTCCTTGTTTAGTCACACATCGTTCCTGAATACCCGTTTGGGGAATTAGTGAATTGAGAGTAAAACGATTGATACTTTATCCAATAGTGGGTAAATACGATTCCATGTCTTTTGGTTATGGCAAGTTCCCTGATTGCATGACACCAACAGAGGAAGGGGAGAGAGGAGGAAGGGGAGAGAGGGAAAGAGGAGAGAGGAGAAGGGAGGGGAGAGAGGGAAAGGAAGGGGCAGAGAGGGGGAGGAAGGGAGCAGAAAGGGGAAGAGTGGGGAGAGAGGGGAAGGGAGGGGGAGAGAGGGGAAGAGAGGGGAGAGAGGGGAAGGAAAGAGGCAGCGAGGGGAATAGAGGGGAGAGAGAGCAAGAGAGGGGAGAGAGGAGAAGGGAGGGGAAAGAGGGCAAGAGAGGAGAGAGAGGGAAAGAGAGGGGAGAGAGGAGGAGGGACAGAGAGGGGAAGAGAGGGGAGAGAGGGGAAGGGAGGGGGAGAGAGGGGAAGACAGGGGAAGTGAGGAGAAGAGAGGGGAGAGAGGGAAAGGAAGGGGATAGAGAGGGCAAGAGAGGGGAGAGAGGGCAAAAGAGGGGAAGGGAGGGGAGAGAGGGCAAGAGAGGGGACAAAGGGAAAGGAAGGGGAAGAGAGGGCAAGAGAAGGGAGAGAGGGGAAGGGAGGGGAGAGAGAGGGCAAGAGAGGGGAGAGAGGGGAAGGGAGGGGCAGAGAGGGGAAGAGAGGAGAGAGAGAGAGGCAGAGAAGGAAAGGAAGGAGGCAGAGAGGGCAAGAGAGGGGAGAGAGGAGAAAGGAGGGAAGAGAGTGCATGAGAGGGGAGAGAGGGAAGGGAGGGGGAGAGAGGGGAAGAGAGGGGAGAGAGGAGAAGGGAGGGGCAGAGAAGGGAAGAGAGGGAAGAGAGGGGAAGAGAGGGGCAGAGAAGGAAAGGATTCAAAAAAAGTTCTACAGTCAAGGTACCTCATCAATGGAGAACAGGCAGTTTTCATTGCTATCATTACGCAAGAAAGATAGCATAGCGTTCGTCAGTGGCAGTTTCTGAAGAGCATCTATAAAGTCTAACAAATTTTGACATTGTAAGTATCTGATAGAATTGTTCAAGGGGGATTTTGACACGTTGTTTCGAGAACATTATTCTCTTAAGTACTAATTACATAGTTTCAAAAAAACAATCGAACTACAGTCAAACCTGTATTAACAGGTCACCCACAGGGAATGGGGGAGTGACCATTCCCCACAGGGAATGGGGGACTACAGGTTGACTAGCAAATGACTTGCGTGATGTTCGTTCGTATTATCTGTCTTAACAGTCAGAGGAAGACATCAGTTTGGGGAGATAACCACGGAATAGTCTGATTTGAGAGAATATTCTTAGTTTTATCTGAGTGGTTCCACTTTCAGTGACGGTTCAATACACAAACAGAACACAAACTGTCCGCGTTGCGACTTAGTCAAAGGTGACCATAACAGCTAAATAGAGGTGACCACTTAAGGGGAAAATATTTGGGGCTTTGACAAACGACTGCCAATTACAGGACGTTCGCTTAAAAAGGGCGCTGCTTACTTTAGCTCGACAGTATATGGTAGTGCTGTTATCCATTTGCTAGTTTGTGAAACATTCAATCAGATCTTTGGTCAAGAAATATGGCTGATTCTGATGATAAACTAGATTGATAAGGAGCAAAATATTTTGATCGTGAAGAGGAACTTTCTCTTCGAGTTTGAGGATAGTTAAATGTAGCACGACTGGTCAACCGATTACACTTGAAAAAGTTGATTAACAAATTAAACCATAAAAAATTAAAAATCAATATAAAACAAGAAACTACGACCAATTTAAAACGGTTCATCTCAATCAAACACACTTCTAGATTAAGGTAATAATTAATGTCCTCCTAATATTTGTGTCAAATATAGGACACGTTCCTCATCAATGGAAATTTCACTCGAAATTTTCTGGAATTTTTCTTGGTATGTGGATAACGCCTTCTTTGTGTTAAGAAACTCTGACAAGTGAATAGCAGTGATCGGCCGGGAAATATTGATGACAAAGCAAAGAGTAACAGTTAGAGACTGCCTTCTCTGAGAATCTTTGAAAAGATGGTCACTTATTTATAACCTCAAGGCTGGGTTATAACAATTTTACCTGTCCGTGTTAAGTTCTTGTTATTTCTAGAGTAGTCGGTGGCTTTGTGGAATCGTCCTTGTCGGAGTAAAGAACCCAAGACCTGTAAAACGACATTTACGCATACTGCTTCTGTAAAATATTTCATCAATGTCAAATACTTCAAAGGATAACGATGCAGAAAAAGGAATGAATGTCAAAGTGATCTCCGTAGTAATGAACACTACTTGAGTAGTAAAAAATTCAGACCTGTGCAGGATTTCAGCCCGTGACCTCTAGCAACTGAGCTAACAAGACAATTGGGAGCTGTAGAGTAAGAGCAGCAGGATTAAAAAAAAATCAATCGATGAAAATGTGAGACAAAAATACGACTTGATTGATTTAATAATCTTTGTAGTTTTTAGCACACCTCACCGTTTTCCAACCTGGTTGTATTGTTGTTCGCTTAAACCACCTCTCCACCCTGAATTTGATCTACTTGTGTAACACATACTTCTTAATTAACCTTCCCTTCCCCCCCCCGAATTTGACCCACTTGTGTATCACACATTACTTAACCTTTCCTTCCCCCCTGAATTTGATCCACTTGCGTATCACAGGTTACTTAACCTTCCCCCCCTGAATATGATCCGCTTGTTTATCACACATTACTTAACCTTCCCTTCCCCCCTTATTTTGATCCATTTACGTATCACACATTACTTAACCTATCCTTCCCCCCTTAGTGATCAACTACGGCTTATTTCAATACTGTTTGGGAGGCAAGGGATGGGAAGTGTGGTGTAAAAGCGATTGCGAATGATGCAGTTCCCCACAGTTTGCCATACTCCAAGATTAAATGTTGAACTTGCTTTTATAGGATATCAGAACTAACGATCTGTGGTGTCTAATCTTTCAAAAGAACAACTAAGCGAGGAAAATGTAAATGAGTAAAACGATGTAAACGCTCTGGCATCTAATGAGAAATTTACTGTGACATGGATAGCTCAAGCACGCTCTGAAAAACCAGACTCCCAAATTGAGTTGACAATGGAAACTGCAAACCATTAAGAGTTTTCGTTAAAATGACGTTTCAAGCATTAGTCCTTAGTCAGCCTGAACTGAAAAACCCTTTATAGTTGCCAATTTAAGGATACTCCTAAAAGTCTTATTTTACATATGAAAAACAATCGTTAAGCGCATCAAATCAATTTCTACATAATTCTGTAGTTATCACGTTATAACCATTAACACGCGACGGTTGTATCTCGGCCAAAGCCAGGCGAAATGTTAATGAAATCCAGAGTATCTTGCGACTTCTCATTGATGAGACACGTCTTGTGTTTAGCAAATCACTTTTCCACGGAATTTCTGGGGTCCATGAGTGCATTTTATCCGGCAACGTGATCATAATGAATTCGATAAAAAAAGTACGCCAGACAGATCTC